ATGGTAGATTAATAGGGGGGTGCTGGCTTTACTAATGGGGGGGTGCTGCTGTTGCAGGTAAAAAAGGAGCTGGTGTGCAAAAGCAGGGCATCAAGCATGGTAGATTAATAAGGGGGTGCTGGCTTTACTAATGGGGGGGTGCAAAAGCAGGGCATCAAACATGGTAGATTAATAGGGGGGTGCTGGCTTTACTAATGGGGGGGGTGCTGCTGTTGCATGTGCAAAAGTTGGGCAAGTTAAAATTAGATTAAAAACGCATGATGTAGCGGGGGGTTTGGGGGAGGGGGCTTTAATAGGGGGGGGTTTCGGGCAAATTTTTTTGTTATTGTGGGGGTGCCAGGGCAAATTCCTGGGTTTCAATTTAAACGAGTATTGGCGAGGGATTTTCCAGGAAAACCAGGCGCTTTAATAGGGGGGGGTTTATTAATCCTGGGTCTGCATTAAGCTGGGGTTGACTTTTCTTCGGGGTCAACAGTAGGTTGGTCCTTTTTTTTTATCATGGCAACCCAAAATCATGGGGGCTAGGGAGGAGAGGGGGGAGGGAGCCCAAATAAGCCCTCAAGCCCGAAAAATAAGGCCTTATTCAGGGCTTATTTAGGCTCCTCCTCCTCCCTCCCTCCCAGCCATGACAAAAGGTGCCTTTGGGCACCGGAGATGGGGTGTGTCTTACCAGAGGGAATTTGTGCTTCGCTTTTTTTGGTTGATATTCCAAGAAATGCTTTGAACAAGGTTCATAGAAACAGGGGAACCCCCAAATTGGTGGCTGTGCCTTTACCATTTTCGGCAAGTTATAGCGGTCACAGGGGGGTGCAACATCCAAAGTCAAGGTTCCTTTTTTGGGTGGTACCTCATTTGTGGCTTGTGAATTGTTATGATTCACCCAGAGAAATAAAACTTGTTGGGGTTCTCAAAATGACTCTGAGGGTGGCTAATCCTAAGCCACAACTTAGACGGGAAACCTGATGTCAGGTGTTTTTGCCCAGCAAGCCGCCTGACCCCTACAAGGTCCCCAGTACTGCCCTTTTATTTGTTTTAGGGGCGAGATTCGGTTCCCCTACTAAAATCGACTACAGAAACAAGTTGGTACCCTTCTTCTATCCTCTCCACTGGAGGACCTAGGCTTTTTGAACACGTTCAAGCTGAACTCCAACCGGCAATTCTCAGGAGGTCAGTTTTTTGTTTTTCTCCAGCAAGTCGCCTGAAAACCTATTTGAACACGTTCCGGCTCTCCACTCAAAGGGACCTAGAAGTCGCCGGATTTTTTTTATTGGAACACCTCCAGCTTCACTCCATGTCAACCCGGCGGCGCGCGCGCGCGAGGCGCTGGTCTCCTTGGTGGTGCTCTGGTGCCTCACTGCGCACTTGCTGATCCAAACTTTCGGTGGCTGCCGGAAGATTCTCCGCTCGGCGATCCGGAGGTGCAAGGACTCCGACCGCGCCGTTTTGTCTTTTTGTGTTTAAATCTTCTTGTTTGTTCTTAAAACAACAATCCACTCCGTGTTTTATTATTAGTTTGTTATTTTTTTTGTTTGGAAACAACTCCACGCCGTTTTCTTTTAATCCACCGCCGCAGATCGGTTTCCGTATTTGCTTAAGAGAACGTTCGATTTATATAAGGACTGCTTTTCTTTTGCTTTCCGGGGTGGTTTTGGCAGCAGCTTCTCTGTTCATGATCACATAGTCGCGGGTCGCGTTGTTGAGGTCCTGCGATTTTGATGTATATATATATATATTTTTCCCACTCTGACCTCCTGGTTTCCGGATTTGCTGAAGATGATGTGTTGTATATCTAAGAAACCCGAACGAATGATTCGATTCCCCTGCAAATACCAACAAACAAGGGTTTCCTATTGTGTCAAAGTGGTGCGAAATGGATTTCGTCCATCCACAGTATGGTTTCCGGATTTGCCTAAGAGAATGTTTTATATGTTCCCCTGTTGGTTTGAATAGAAACTCATTTGGTCCAAGGGATTTCAGCAAATTGAAGATGGGCTTGCGTGGCGTTCCGGTTTCAAAGGAACATCACTCGGGGGCTGGGAGATTCCAAGAGGAGTCAAGGGGCACTTCACTTGACTGCTATTGGGCAACGGATCTTTAAACTTTAACAGGGCTCCTTAAAAGATACGTTTTGGCCCCTTTTGAAACATGGCTTTTTCCACCAAGATAAAAGGGGAACCACCACTTACAAGGCAATGTTCAGGTGTATAATGCCAGGATCCCTGTTTTTAACTTTTCGGGAAATCAAGTTGGGTTTTCCACTAAACGCCCTAAACAGTTAAACTGTTTGCACGGGGGGTCGTTGCAGCAACCAAGTTTCCGGACCGTATCAGGGGAAAGGGGGCCATTGGTGGGTTCGCTTCCAACCCCCTCTCCGAAGAACCGTGCGCCTGAGAAAAAAATCCCCCCACTAGTGCCACTGCTGGACCGCCCAAGCGCTCGGCCAGGTGGTTTTCCGAGGGTAACCCACCTTTTTCCAAACTTGGATTTTTTATTCTCAGTGGTTCAAAGCGAATCGACCTTAGGGTTTCCCATTGTCTATATTTAGTCATGGCCCTAAAAGGTTAACCTTCTGTTTTTGGGTCCCCGAGCGGCAACTGAGTATTGGATGGCAAGTCCTTGGATACAAAAGCATGGAATAATGGACAATCACTGGGTAGGTTCTCGGCATACAAGGTATCTGCGGAGTCTGACTAGAAAGGGTCTCATCTCCCCCAGTTTCTCTTTTTTGCAGAAGGAACTTCCACGAAGGGTGTCCACCAGAAGGAGTTGCAACTCTAGACATGCTTTTGTGTTGGTTCCATGTGAAAATCTGTAGGGTATCAGACTTGAAATGGCTAGACATCGAAGCGAAGCCGAACAGGGCTCCTATGCGAATGTACTGAAGCTACAGGGCTGCCTCTGAGACCATTTGACAAAACTGGTCACACTGGTTTCCGTTGGAAAGTCTACTACTCGTTTCAACTGGTTTCTACTGTTTTTTTGTCAAACTTCTGGCTTGTCAAACTTCTGGCTTAGAAAGGTATAGAGGACTATGCCATGTCTTGTGTGTCAAAAAAACTTCTGGCTTTACTTGCCGTCCAAGAGTACTCCTTTATTCCCTTTGTTTGGAGGGAGAAGCTAGTTCAAAATGATCCCAAAATCTCACTCCCCCGTTCCTGAGCTGCAGTTTTTGTTGAGTTTCGACCCTTTTTGGTGGTATTCCCCAAATGTTTGACTCTTTTTTAGGCCAAGCCACTCAAGTGAGGAGTCACTGCTTAGGTGTTTGGAATCGCTAAATGGTGGGCCTTGACTTGGTAGGGGATGTGCTTCTAGGGGTTGATTCCCCATTCTTTTCAACCACTCTAACATTCTCAGGTTGTTGGGCCCTCAAGTCTGGTTGTTTTCCATTGGGCCCCTGAGGACTTGGTCGGGGTTCTCCATTGGTTCGGGTGCGGGGGTGTGCATTAGAGGGATCATGACCTTTAGGGCAGAGCTTTTTTCATCAACCGGCCGTTTTAAACGCCTGGGCGGTTTTCTAGAAAGAAGCATTGGAAAGAATATGGCCATGGTTCAAAACCAATGGGATCCCCATTTTGGGATAGGTGCACCACCCATTTTGGAACCTGTTTTAGTGGTTGGATTGGGATGTTCACTGGGGGTACGATTTGGGTTTTGACCCATGGCCATATGGGCGGTTATCTAGAAATCCCTGAAAAAATATCTAGTTCCCCCAGTAACAGTAGTGCCCTTCTCTCCCCTTTTTGGGTTAGGGTTCCACTAAAATAGACAAAACAGAAAAAGGGTGCCCTTATTCTAACTTCTCCACTGGAGGACCTAGATATGGAAGTAGATATAAGGTAGCCCTGGACTGCTGGCGGTAAGCCACCCGCTTGGCTTTGACGCCCAACGCTTGGCTTAAGCCCGCGGCTTAGGAGCTGGGTCGATGTGGATGGCTGCCTCGCAGGCGTGGAATCAACACATGAATGAATCGGAGGAAATGGCACCTGGAAAAGGAACATGGTGGTCTAAAAACATCTGATCTGAAAATGGTTGGTCAGGCCCAAAAGAAAGATTCGGGTCATGACCAGCCATTTTCAAAAGGTCACAACGAGACTCTAGGTTCTTCAAGCCCCGAAATGTCGAAGGGTTTCATGTGAGCCACAATCAAAACCCGGGTAGATGAAGGTTAGTAGCCGGGGCTATATGTCTGTAACAGATGAAAACTTCCCCAATCCTTGGAGTTTTAAGGGGTAAGGTTCTCTCAAAAGTGAAATTCCATCCATTCAAGCGCGCATGCTGTCGGTGTCCGTTTCGGGCCTCTTAAAGAATACGATAGGCCGGGTAAGTCGCCGGGAAGTTGCCAAGTTGATAAGGCCTCAAGGCTAGGCTTTCGGTTCCCCCGGGCTACAAGGCAGGGCGTGAACCCAGAAACACCTCGACTCAGAGAAGGTATCTACATGACAATACTGTGGATGGTTGCGAAATCCATTTCGCACCACCGTTCAGAAACCCTGGCAGGCTTTGATTCCCCTGTAAATACCAACAAACGTTGTGGTTTCCCATGGATTCAACGTGGTGCAGGATTTCGTCCATCCACAGTATGGCTTTATGATTAGACAAATCAAAACGGTGGTGGAAAAACGGAGGTGGTTTTATCATTTCTGGACAAAACAAAACCGGGGTGGTTGGAACACGTAGGTTCTAAAGTATCTCAATCCAACATGTAGCTACCTTCAAAACACACAGCTTTCCGCAAGGGATCCCAGAGTGACCACGCTTGGTGGCTCGTCATTTTTTGGAGGGCGCCCTTGCGGTTCTGCCGGAAATCGAAACGGACAAATGTTGCCCTTGACTCTTGGGGGCCTGTAAAACAACATGCCCGCCATTGTTGCAGGGCTTGGGATCAACAGGGCTGGGAGATTGTTCAAATCCGCACCGTAAACACAGCCCGTTGATAAAGAAATGAGATCAGGTCCATAAGCATAAAATAGATCTGTGTTTTCAACGACCCCAAAAGCCCCGTTCAAGTTATTTAGACCTTTGGCTTTGGGTTCCTAGTCTGTTGGATCAGTGTGTGTGACGACCACTTGTGGCCCGTGAAAGCAGCTTACCACTCGTCAGAAGCGGAACTGGGGGGGCGATTTCGACCCCCGGGAAGTACTGTGGACAACATCCTGCAGCAGCTGATAGGTCGTTTCTCCCAAGATTTATAGGGTTTCATCCATCCCCACAATATGTCCATCTTCCTGTTTGTGGCGTTTGTGGGGAGGAGGGGAGGTTGATTTATGGTTTCACCTTCCCGTTGTTGCGTTCGCAGGGAAGAATTAATTTGTCACCTTCCCTTTGTGGCGTGATGTGGGGAGAGGGATGTATATGTCTGTTCTCCCGGCGTGGCGTTTTTGGGGAGGACGTTTATTTATGTGATTATTCGCCGCCGCCGTGGGGAATAATTATTTGTCATGATGTCTACTGACCCGTTCAAGCCACCATTCAATCCATGGGGTTACTATGCACGGTCCCCCAGTAGTGCCCTTCTCTCCCCTTCTTTGGGGGGAGGGTTCCCCTACGAAAACAGACAAAACCGAAAAAAGAGGTTGGTACTCTTATTCTACCCTCTCAGATCTGGAGGACCTGGTTGAAATGCAGTGCTTCTTTTCGCCTTTTGTGTTTCCTTTTTTGACCCTCTCCTTACAGAAAAAAAACAAGTTGGGGCCATGGAACTCCAGGCTTGAGCTTAGTTCATGTCGGGGGCGCGGATTTGGACACCTAGACTCTCCACCCGCCCATTTGACCCAAAGGACTTTTTCTTCGAACTGGGTCATTTCCCAAAAGAATTGGGTCATGACCCGGCCCATTTTTTAAGGGTCAGATTCGGAGAGTCTAGGTAGAGTCTCCTTCTAACAACTTAACTTGGGTAACTGGGGTTGGCCCCTCTATGGTTATTCTCTCCCGTGGGACATTGGTTTTCCCCCAGCCCCCGAGGCAAAGCCTGGCGGATCCTCTGGCCAAGATCTCGGACGCCCGGCAGCTGGCGGTCGGGGCTTGTGGGATCAAGACGTGGCTCAAAATTTGAACCCATCGGCAGGGGCAAAAAAACCGCCGGGGTTTTGGGTTTCCATGTTTCCACTTACCGATGGGGCAAGTTCGGGTGCTCAAAATTAACCGATGGAGGGGCACACCGCAGGGTTTTGGTACGCATGTTTCCACTTAGGGCAAGTTCCATGTTGGTTGTCTGGAGTCTCCGAATCTGACCCGAATCAATGGTGGGTCATTTCCCCAAAGAATGGGGTCATGACTCCCCATTTTTTCTGGGCCACGGAGACTCCAACGGTACCGGTTTGTTGACTTCGCCACAGCCACTGGGCGGGTCATGTCAGCGAATGGAATCCGGTTCCTTAGGCTTGGTTTAGGTTTTTCCGTGGGGTTGAGTGGTGGGGTTTTTCCGTTTTCCGGCCACGGAACGTTATTTTCACCTTGAGGGGATCTGAAAACGGACAGCCCAGAGAGTTCTCCCCACTTCTTTTATATGGCTGTGGCTCAAAATTAAACCGCTGAGACTACGCAGGTGTTGGTCTCCTGTCCCATTTCCAGGGTTCCATTTTGGGTTTCCATGTTTTTGAGCCACACCCATATGGGGGGGTAGTCTTTGGGAAGCCCGTTCTGTTTCTCCATCCCTTTTTTGTTTCTTTCCACCTGTTTGTGTGTTTAGGGTTTTGGCCTTGGCTTTCTGCTTTCTGTTGGGCTGTTGGGCTGCTGGTTGTTTTGTTGGGCTGTTGGTCCGTTCCCGGTGGTCCCTGATGGACGAAATCCACGAAAAAATACCTCAGATGTTCAAAGCGAATCGACCGGATCTGACCTTTTTAGTGTTCCCTTTTTGGTCCATACTTAGACACGGTCCGAAAAGATTGACCTTCTATTTCTGCGTCATTTGGGATAGCGCCAATAGTCATGATGCTTGTTGTTGGAAAAACTGAAACAGTTTTTGTGTTTTTGCTTATTGTGGCTTCGTGGGAAATCCACACTTAACTGCTAAAAAATTAATATGTTTGCTCCCCTTCCAACGTCAACCAAGTAGTGGGGATCAACGAAGCCCATAGCTGGGGAGGTTCTCCACCTAGCGCCTAAGAGGTGTCCATCCAGGCAAGGTTTTCCTTTCGCTTCTCCATTTCTAATTGCAACGCCAAGCACATTCCAATTGTTTATTCACTTCCTGGTGGGCGACATTTCAATTTGCCAAGCCGGATGCTTGAACGAACGGCACCCAAGGGGTCAAATATGGGTTTGTCTCAAAGTGAAGGAAGCCTGGTTTTAAATGTTAAAGTCAAGGCAGTCAAGGGGATCTCGGCAATAAAATCGAGCATCCCATTTCCCAAGAGCTTTCTGGACTCTCTCCGTCCTGACTTTTCCTCAGCCCTTGAAGCGAAAGAAGTCAGAGAGGGCCCACTTTGAGTGTCAGTTTCTCCCGAGTCAATTCCCCTCCCACCAATTAACACGGAACGCTTTAAAAGGAAAACTTTCCTCCAGGACCCTTTTGTCAGTTTCCATATTGATTGCTATTGGGTTGGATCGCGAGACTTGAACTTTTTGGTCGAACAGGGGTTTTCCATTGAACCAAAAGGGGTTTTCCATTGAACCAAAAGGGGTTTTCCATTGAACCAAAAGGGGTTTTTCATTGAACCAAAAGTGGTTTTCCATTGAACCAAAAGGGGTTTTCCGTTGAACCAAAAGGGGTTTTCCGTTGAACCAAAAGGGGTTTTCCGTTGAACCAAAAGGGGTTTTCCATTGAACCAAAAGGGGTTTTCCATTGAACTGAACCAAAAGGGGTTTTCCATTGAACCAAAGGGGGTTTTCCATTGAACCAAAAGGGGTTTTCCATTGAACCAAAAGGGGTTTTCCATTGAACCAAAAGGGGTTTTCCATTGAACTGAACCAAAAGGGGTTTTCCATTGAACCAAAGGGGGTTTTCCATTGAACCAAAAGGGGTTTTCCATTGAACCCACCAAAAAATATAATGAGTCAATCGCAACTTCAACGATTTCATGGCCAAATTTCTTGAATGCGCTGGCTTGGCTCTTAAGAACCCACCCACCTTTTGTTTTTTTTTGGAGTCTCCCTTCGGTTGCCTCTCCCTTCTGACCCTTGAAAAGTGGGCCGGGTCATGCCCCAAATCTTTCTTTCGGGCAGTCTGAACCATTTTTATATGGTCAGATTTGGAGACTCCAGGTACTAGTACCCTCCCAATTCGCTCGAACAATGTTCCTTTTCCAGGACCATTTCCCTGTCAGAGTCCATGTGTTGGCCCATTTTTTTTGTGGCTCAGAAGGTGACTCCAAGGCGTCTTTTTCCTCACTCACCTTTGAGTTCAGCTTGGTTTGCAGGTCCGTTTCAACCGGCCGATTCGGAGGAAAACCAGCTCACCATGATGTAGACCAATTTTATCTGGGGATTTTTTACAAGGTCCCCCAGTAGTGCCCTTTTACCCCTTTTTTTGGGTGAGGGTGCCGCTCCTAAATAGACTGCAGAAAAAATAGGGTTGGTTGTGGGTTGAGTTGTCACGTGTCAGAATGCAAGGGTGCGAGTTCAGGAGCTGTCGGGTTGGGCTGGGGGGGGAAACCATTGCTTGTTGTTTTTTTCAGGGGGATCCAATTCTTCCAGGGCCTTTGAGCGTTTTGTCGCTATTTCTGGATTTCGCAACCATGCGCAGTAATTATATATATTTTTTCGGGCACCTATTTCTGGGCTGTTCAAAGGGAATCCTTAATCCTCACCTTGAGTTCCTCAAGGGTCCCCTTTGTAGTGGCTTGCCAACAGGGATTATGTATTCGGATTGGCCAAGCCTCCATTTTGAACGGCCTACTGTGGATGGACGAACTCCAGCGCCACCTACGAAACCTTGATTTGCTGATTCCGTGTAAATAGCAAGCAATCGTGGTTTCCGATGGTTTCAATGTGGTGCGAAATGGATTTCGTCCATCCACCGTAGTATCTTTTCGGCCAAAACGTATGTGTTGCCCGCGACCGCCCGGAAGCGGGTCCCCGAGCCCTCGAAAAAGCTTGGCAGGCGCAGCAAAAACGCACTTCCGAGCCTCCCGGACCTCCATGCTCCATACCCCCTTCATGGAGCGCGGCGACTTTTCCTGGTTATACGGTGCTATCATCAACACAACGCTAAACCTAAACCAGACAAGCCAGCCTCGGATGCGCCGGACAGCCGGCTCCAAGCAATCCTAAACCCGGAAAACCCTAAACCTAAACCCTAAAACCCTAAAACCTAAACCCTGAAAACCCTAAATGAAAGCCTTAAAACCCCTGGAAACCCCGAAAACCCTAAACTAAACCCTAAAACCCCTAAACCTAAACCCTAACAACCCAAAACCTAAACCCTAACAACCCAAAACCTCCTGAAAAACCTTAAACCTAAACCCTAAAAACCCTAGACCTAAACCCTAAAAACCCTAAACCCAAACCCTAAGAACCCTAAACCTGCCAGCACGATCATACAGCATAAAAAGACCTTGTGGGCGACACGTATGTTTTGTGGTTTTTATTTGACCACCACACCCACAATGGGTATGGGTCAAAATCAAAGCACCAGCGGACCGCAGGTTTTGGTCCATGTTTCCACCCAGGACAACCCATTTTGGGTAAACATTTTTGACAACCACATCCACAATGGTTTGGAGTATCTTTGACAACCACACCCACGTGGTAGCGCAGGTTCAAGTTGGCGTCACAACTTGCTTCAGTTGGCTTGGGATTTCATAGGGAAGGTTTAGGGTTGGTTTACTGCTGGTTTGAGGGGGGGGGGGGTTGGCTTGGTTTTTGGGCCAAGGAGCACCACGTGCTACGAGTGAAGCGCGCGACCCTCTTCTTGAGCTGCTGCATTGCCTGCATTGCCCTGCCCTTGGTCCTAAGCGACGCGGCGATACTTTGGGAGTCGGAAGCTGGAGGCTTCGACGGTCTGAGGGTTGGAGGGTCTGAGGGTCTGAGGGTTCGGATTGTCCTGAAATGCGTTGGCTTGCTGGGGTTGGTTTCCGATTTGTCTTGGAACGCGATTATATTGTTGTTGGCTGTTACGGACATGTGGCCATGGGTCACAACCTATGCCTCCAATTTGGGGCGGATGAACACCCATGTACCGTTTTGATGTTCACCAGGGGTATAGGGTTTTGACCCACAATGTGTTGGTCAGGCTTGCTGGGGTTGCCGATTTGTCTTGGAATGCGTTGATATTGTTCGCTGTTACTTGGAGGTTCATCCATCGTATATAGTAGTTAAGTAGGTTATGACTTTTACCATGTTATAGTTGCAACTTGGGTAACTGGGATTGGTCCCCTCATAACCATGGTTATAACCTACTTATTGAGTTGGTTGAAGATCCAAGTGCAGGAAATCTCTGTTGGTCCGATTCTGTGTTGGGCCTTGAAATTTGTTTGATTGTGGGTAAGGGGAAACCAGAAGGAAGACATAATGTTGAACATGTTGGGAAGTTCATCCAGACACCCAGCGGGTTGCTTCCTTTTGCCCTTTTTGTTGGGAGGGTTTCCATTGAACCCTTCAGGTTCCTTGATTTGTCGTTTTGGCCAGCCAAAAATCGACGTTTGCCGGGATCTGTTGTGTTCAGGGTTGGCTAGATGTGTCAGACTCGGAAAGTCTTTTTGTTGGTGCACATCCGCGTTGGGTCAAGTATTCGGGTTGAGCAAGCAAGTCTAAGTGTGCTTTTCAGGGCCTGTGCTTGTTCTGCTTCTTTGAACTTCTCAAAACAAAGCACTTCAGTGGCTTTGACAGTGGCGATTCTTTGACCTTGGCTTTGGTCACAGCTTCCCCCATTTTAGGACCCCACTTGTCCAAGGCCAACCTTTTTAACTTTCTGGTTTCCCTGATGTGGAAACACATTTGTGGTTACAAAAGGTGATCGTTTCCTTTTTTGGGGTCCCATTGTTTTCCACTAACCAGGCAACAAATATTTTTGTTGCTGGGGTCCTAGTTCCAGCCAAGTTTACACTGTTTGGGTTTGGACCATGTGGCCAACCACTCACTTCTTGAGTTCATGAACTTTAGTCACTTTGGGGTTTGCATCAGTTTCGTGGTACAACAAAAAACGGACTTTGGGCCTAGAAAAGCCTTTGAGTTCCAGCTCCAAAAACTGGGCTGAGGAGCCCTGGCCCACCCGTCACCTGGTTGGCCCTGCCTTCAGAAAGCGGGCTTTGAATGGCTCTAAGCGTCTCCGCTTGCCTAAGAACACATTTTGCTTGCTGAAAAGTTTATATATATATATATATATATACATGTTCGCTTTTTGGTTTTAAAGGGAAACTATCACTATCTTTGGTGCATTTTGCTTGGATGTTAGGACTCTAACTTTTTGCCAGCTAATGGGTTTTCCATTAAACCACTAAAAGTTAAACTTTTATTAGCAGGGGAGCAACCGAGCTATGTAAATATGTTTACTTTTCCATGGGGCTTTAGCAAATAGAAGTAAGGGCTCGCTTGGAAACCGCCCATAGGGCTTGTCCACCACCAAGATGTCTTGTCCATTTTGGGTTTCGCGTCCAAACCCGAAATGACCGGTGTCCTTGTGGTTTTCCTTAAACTCCCAAAAAGGGTGCCGGACCTTAAACAAAGCACAGCCACTTGCAGTTGTCTCATCTGCACCACTTGTTTAAAGAGGTTTTTCCTGTGTGACAAAAGCGCCTACCCTGTCCTAGAGACGACAATTGACAAACATGGTGTCATCAACCAAAAATCCAGGGCCGTGACCCCCTTTACAGGGTCATGGAGACTCGAGGTAGTAATGTACCTCCTGTCTTCGTCAATGATTGACATCATACCCTAAAAAGGCCGGTTATCTCGCGCAGGCTTTAAGCAACGCAGAATGTCCTTTGCACGATACCCTCTATTGGAGAAAGGGGTCTCCATTGGAAGGGTTTCTTGCGTAAGAATATGTTTTAACTTTTTATTGTTGGGCTTAAAGGGAATCTATCACTACTGGACACATTTTCTCATGGTTTCCAGGGGAGCTCAAGCAAACAGAAGCTTGGCGCCGAAAATCGGGTTGCTCTTTCCCTCTTGTTTTTGGCTTCAGGCCTGCTGTGGGACGCGAACTGCGAGGTGTCGCTGAGGATTTTGTGGCATTGTGGCTTCTGGGCGATTATGGTGCTGACCAACATCATCATCACCCGCTGGCCACGGTGCATGGCACCCAGACTTGATCGGGAGATCGGGCTGGTGCGTGTGGGCCTTTGCCGCCGTGGTGGGCGGCCTTGCTTCGAAGCCAGGATGTTCTTCGATTTGCTTAAGGACTTGCTTTTTTGTTTTTACTTCTCCGTTTTTTTTGTTTTAGGGAATCTCTCTCATTACTGAGATTGTGTTTTGTTCCAGGGGGCTTAGCCAAATTCGGGAGATTCTGTCAGAGGCCGTGTCTTCTGGCTCGAGAGAGCGCGTGCGCTTGCAAAGTGTGCTGGCTCTTCGCATAGCGTGCCTCATATTGCTTGATGCACACCTCATACATCCTCATATATATATATATATTGTATATACTCATGCCTGCGCACACATGCCCGCGTACATACATACATACATATATATATATGTATATATGTATATACGTGTCCACGCAAACGTACAAACACACATACATACGTGCATATGTACAAAAGTGTGTACGTACTTACCTACATGTATACACGCACCCACTACACTACATTACAGTACGTGACGATACACACGCGCACACACACACATATGCGCGCACGTGTCCAGAAATTCAGGCGCGCCTGCGTACATACACGTACACTTACACTAACACACACACACACACACCTTCGGCACACACACACACACATACGCGCCTACATACGCACATACATACGAACATGCGCACATACACACATGCACACTCATGCATACACATGCGTACCTACAGCCATCCATCCATACACACATACATACACACAAACACACATACACACACATACACACATGCACACATACACACATACACACACACACACATACATACATACATACATACATACATACATACATACATACATACATACATACATACATACACATACATACATACATACATACATACATACATACATACATACATACATACATACATACATACATACATACATACATACATACATACATACATACATACATACATACATACATACATACATACACACATACATACATACATACATGCATACGTGCGCACATGCGCGCACACAAGTTGAAATTCATGCATACACACATGCGTGCGCCCACATGCACGCATGCATAATCCCTTCCTTTCAATACATAGACCCTCTTAATAGCTCTACTGTTATTGGGTTGGATCTTTAGACTTAAACTTTTTCGATTCCCCTCATATTTCCTTTTAACCAGCAAAATATGTTTTTTTTCACTTTTTGCTAGGAGATCTACAGCACCCAAGATAAATACTATTTTCCCAGACCGGCTGAAGCAACCGGGTCCAGAATCTCAGCTGTTCAGTGGCACCGAATCTCTTTTTCCAACTCTTTTTTTGGTGGCTGCCCCACTAAAATTCGGAATCTTCCTCAAAAACAGTTCCCTTTTTTTTCCGGGGTCAGTGAACAACTGAGCAACAGCCCAATTCGAAACCAATCCTCCGATGATCCGATGGCTCCGGCCCAGACCAGCAGCCTTAGGGGGCTCCTTGCACCAACCCAATACCAAGTTCTAAATGCATACTTGCCTTGTACTGATTTACATGTACCTAGAGTCTCCGTGACCCCTAGAAAAAGGGCCCATTTGAGCCCTTAATTTTGGCAATGACCCCATATTTTAAGGGTCATGGAGAGTCTAGGTATTTCTTGAGTTGTACGCCTAACTTTAAACTACGCCCTCAAAAACGAGAAAAAACAGAAAAGCAAAACAACCGTTGAACCGGTTTATTTGAATTCAGCGGAAAATTGTGGTTTTGAGGTTTTTCGTGTCTGGGAAGGGGGGAGCCCATTTGGACAAGGACCGAAGAGGAAATCCGGTCGACCCCAAAAGACCCTTCGAATATATATGTTTTGTCCCGCAGAGAGTATTTATTATTAGGCGGGTCCGCGGTTATTTTTAGGGAGAGGGATGACATACATACATTCATCCATCCATACATACATGCACACGTACATATACGCACACATACACATATACACATACATACATACGTACGCACATGTATGCACACATGCTGAGAATAATGCATACACACATGCGTGGCACCCGTTACATCCATCAATCCATCCATGCATACATACATACATACAGACATACGTTTGCGCACACATGCTGAAAGTTATGCATGCGCAGATGCGTGCGCACACGTGCACACATGCACACATGCACACATACACACATACATGTTTGCATGCATACATACATACATGCATGCGCAAATACATGCATGCGCAAATACATGCATGCGCAAATACATGCATGCGCAAATACATACATACATACATACATACATACATACATACATACATACATACATACATACATACATACATACATACATACATACATACATACATACATACATACATACATACATACATACATACATACATACATACATACATACATACATACATACATACATACATACATACATACATACACATACATACATACATACATACATACATACATACATACATACATACATACATACATACATACATACATACATACATACATACATACATACATACATACATACATACATACATACATACGCACATACGCACATACGCACATACGCACATACACACATACACACATACACACATGCACGCATACACACATATACGCATACATACATACATGCATACATGCATACATACATACATACATACATACGCACATACGCACATACGCACATACGCACATACACACATACACACATACACACATGCACCCATACACACATATACGCATACATACATACATGCATACATGCAGACATGCAGACATGCATACATACATACACACACACATACACACAAACATACATACATTCATACATACATACATGCATGCATGCATGCATGCATGCACACATACTTACATACATACCCTCTTACACCCTTACATGCATGCCTTCGTACATCATACAAACACACGTTAACACACATACAGGCACATTTGCGCAGGTGTGCGTATGTACATAATACATGCGTGAGTCTATATGCACACATGTTCAGTCACGCACATTACACCTACATACGTGCATCCCCGCACATGAACCTCTGCAGGCACACATATCCACACATACATACAAGCGCCTATTCACAATTGCGCTCGTACACAATTCCGCGTACACATACATTTGCATGCACACATGCCAAAATATTCACATGTCCGGTTTCGCCAACATGTTTACAATTTAGTCCTAAGTATATACTCACTCAAGCACAGACAGTACATGCACATGCTTCAACATGACCTAACATACGCACACATGCAGGACACACACACACATGCATGGACATACATATTTGAATGCGTGCACGAACGACATACGTTACATGCATATATCCGTGGTTCCATGCGTGCACTAATTTAGGTTCGAGTTGTGGGCGTTTGGTGGGGTCTGACGGGCCCATGGTGGGCCCACAGTGGACACGTGCATTTAGTCGCAAACACATATGCAAAGATCAACATGTGCGCGCATATACAGTTCTATTGTGCTACACTAACATACATACAGACATGCATACATTCATACACACGTAAATACATGCACAAACACATGCATACATACACGCATACATGCATTGTATCCCTCTTACATACATGCCGTGCTTCATGCGTGCATGCAAACTTTTTCGGCTGTGAAAACCCGCCAGTTTCTCTCGATACGACATGGGTTCCTTTGGCTGAACACAAGACAGCTCAGGTGTAATATTTTGTGGTTGTATTGTAGGGTGTTATTTCTTGCATTTGCTTAAGACTAGTTGTCTTGTGTTAATTCCCCCAAGTTTAAGGGGAATCGAGCACTACTGGAAACATGTTTTTGTTCAGGGGTACAAAAGCAAAGGGAGGATGTTGTAGGGTTAGTGGGTGTTGTATGACTCAAGTTCAAAGGCCGTTTATGCTGCTTGCCATGTGTTTTGTAGGATTATACTTGTTTTGAGAGCCCAAACAACCTCCCTCCCTCCCCTCCCTCCCCCCCTCCCAGCTACTATGATTTCTAGGTCCAAACTGGGCAACTGAGATTCCTGAGTTGTGAGGCCTGCCCCTCCCAACACAGATTGAGGCCTCTAGGCCAGGATCCCGAGCGCAACAAATTCCATGGCATGTCCAAACCTGGATTCACGCTTTCCCAAACGAGCCACGTGCTCAAAACTCGGGTAGATGAACCAAGGGACAATCCCAGCCATAAACATTGCGGCATTCCGCCTTCTTAATTCTTGAAGCATGGTTATGGGTCGGCCATGGTACTAATGTTAACCCCGGATTAATAAACCCCTGGTTGATTAATAGGGGGGTGTCCCCTTTTAGTGGGGATTCATCACTTTGGGAGGGAACACCCCCCTAATAATGGGACGGGTTTATTAATCCTGGGTCAGCATTGCCGGGTTTTGATGGTGACTCAAACGGATCTCCGAAATGGAAGCCTTGGATAAAATTCACAGTGGCCCTCTGGAAGTTGGCGAGTTGGCGAGAAGAAAAAAATATCGGGAGGCGAGAAGTGGATTTGAGCTGCCCTCGGTGGCTAAAATTTGGGCGGCCACGAAAGGAAGGAAGACCCACCTGTTGCAGCAAGTGAGATTGTTGTAAGCTGCCATCAGTAGCGTCATTTGGGCCGTCGTATCTTCTTTGTTTTTTCACAGCTGCAGGTCCTGTCCCTCGCTTACCTCTTGGGCATGACGCTGATCATGACGAGCCCTGCGTGGCATAGCTAAGCACTTGGCCGCCTTTTCATTATTTTTATGGTGGTTTCCCCTCATCTATGGTGGCCATCTTGCACCATGTTGGGAATTCACTATATGGTGGTTTCCCTCCATCATCATATGACCATCCAAGGATGACTGAATGAGAAACTGTTTGCCCGCCTCGTGTTGGTTTCACTTCTCCTCACCCCATCAGTCCCGGCTCCCCTTTCTGCTTGTTTGATTTGTTGGGGTCCCTTTTTTTCCACTAACCAGTCAAAAAAGCTAGTTTTTTGCTGGGGTCCTAGTTCCAGCCAAGTTTACACTGTTTGGGCTTGGACCATGTGGCCAACAACTCACTTCTTGAGTTCATGAACTTTAGTCACTTTTGGGTTTGGATCATTTTACTTGCTGGCTCCCAGCCATCCGCTTAGCTTTTTAGCCTTTTAGTGTTTAGTGGTAGTTTCCATTTAACCCACTACAAGTTAAACTTTTAGCGGGGGATTTGGGGGCAGCCCAGTTTAGTGGTAAGTATAAAGTTCCTGAGACAAGTTTTTAGAGTTCTGTTGGATCCACCCAGTTCACTGTTCGGCTTTTGTAGCTGTACCCTCTCCATTCTCTTCAGGCATCATTCTCTTCAAAGAATGGGCCAAAACCCTGGAAAATGGGTGGTTTCCAAAGAGAAGGATGGGTGAAGAGAATTGGGAATAAAGCCTTGGAACTTTTCAGGTTTTTGAAATCACCTTTTCCCCATTTTTTTCAGCGCCACTCTGAAGCGGGACGGATGGGTTGAAGAGATGCTTGAAAGAGGTGAGGCACCTGCTCGAAATGCGGGTAGATGAAGGTTCGGGGCAGTCTTCAGCCAGACATCGGTGGGGAAATGCGCCTTTCAAGTCCTGACACCTTTTTGGTAGACCAGTTTAAGGCCATTTATTTACATGGATTTGGGTCCATTTTCAGACTGATGGGTTGTGACTCAGGTGGACATATATTCTGGATGAATTGGCAGCTGTCGCAGTTGGGGGTTTGTCGCGCCTGGCCTGTCTCTCCTGTGGACCGACCCCAACACTCGCACCCCGGATGTACGACGATCTGAGAGAAGGAGGAGTGGAATTTGGGCCACGGGAGGTCCGTCTGACGAGTGTGGTGCACTTGTTGAATCAAAGATCTAGGGTTTGATTCCTTGTCCATTCTTTTCAATCGTCCTTCCTTTCAAAAATGGATCGCTGTTTCCGCTGGGTGTTTAAGACGGTTTCCTGAAAAGAAGGATCCCTGGGAAGAATGGGAAAGCTTCCCGGGTCCACAAAGAGATCAATTTTGCCAAAAGGGGTCAATTTTGCATTTGATTGGTGGTTAAACAACACAAGTCAACTTTTGGAAACATATTCGTTTTTCCAAGCTGACCGGCCTGGGAAAGGCTCTATGAACCTTCAGAGTTTTGAACTTGCTGGTTCACGGCAAAAAGCGATTTGCTTCCCTTTTTAGGGAATTCCGACCACATGTTTACTCCCATACAAAGGTTTGGGACAAACAGGGGGTAAGGGGCGCAATGCAACCCGCCCTGCAGACGGGGCGTGTGTCCACGGAAGAAAGATAACACGGTGAAGTCTACTTGGCCGGGTCCTTTTCTTACAGGACCATCAAAAATGTCCTTTTTGGTTCCCTTTTAAGACCAAGTTCCCAAAGAATGGAAGCACCCACTCGGATGATCGCAGTTGGGAAGTTGTTCGTCACGGTTCAACCCACTCAAAAGCCCCCCACGTGAGAGTGAACCCCCTTTGTAACGGTCCCGATGGGAAAACCAGGAAACAACAGAAGTGGATAACGGCAACTTCTCTTTGAGAGTTGCCCACGGCTTCTTTCTTCTGTTTGCTTGGCGGTCCCAGCGAATCGTCTGGTTCCTTGGGTTTTTAGTTTTTTTTGGTTGGTTTGCTGGTAGTTTCCGTATTTATGCCACAGAAAGTTAGACTTCTAGCAGAGGATCTGAGGACAGCCCTGTTTGATGTTTTTGTTTCATTTGTTTGCAAACTTGGAGTTGGCTGTCCCCCTGTTTCTTTGTCGGTACAAACCTGTCTGGTCAGTTTGTCCGTCCGTCCTTCCTGTCTGCCTGCCTCTCTGCCTGTCTGTCCGTCCGTCAGTCTGTCTATTTGTCTGTCTGTCAGTCAGTTTGCTTTCTCACCCAGAGGGTCCCTTGGTACCTTCTAAGGATGTACTTTGCCCTTTTTCGACCCCCCAAACGCCATCCTCAGAGGGTACTTGGACCCTGGTCAGTTGTTTCAAACAAATCCACCTTTTGACCTTTCGGTTTTCCCATGTTGGGTTCCCGTGTTTCATCCCAGAAGCTCCAGCCTTTATTTCTAAGTCACTAAAAATCAATTCAGCTTTCCTTGCGTCGGCCTTGATTTGTTTCTCCTACTGTGGATGGACAAGATCCATTTCGCAGCACCCAGGAAACAATGGTTGGAACCCTTGTTTGGTATTTACCGAGGGGAAGCGAATCATTCCCAGGGTTTCTGAACGGTGGTGCGAAATGGATTTCGCGACCATCCCTCTTGTAGTGCCAAGAAGCCCGAGGTTTTCATTCTCAACGCAGCGCACTCCTTCAACACCTACCTCAATACGGAGAGCTCGGACATCGCAGTGATGTTTGACGCCTTCATCAGCGGCTTAAGCCAGAGATCCGTTTTCGTCCGAAGCACGCAGTGCCCAGAAAGTTTCCCTTTACCTACAGTAGCAAACATGTCTTGCACCCCTGCTGGTTTTATTGCCACCGAGAGCTGAGTGGTTTTGTTGAGAGGAGTACTCATGATCAAGCCGAATGCGACTGCTGAACTATGTCCTGATTCTGACTCTGACGATTTTGGGAAACTATTACTAAGAACCCTTCATGTTGTGTTTTCCCGTGTGTGTTTTGTTGAAAGGACCAGGATTTCCCATTGAACTCGCGAGAGGAACTACCTTCCCCCCTTGCGCGCGGGTTCATGCCTTGACCGTCCAACAGGAAGCGCTAAGCGCCCCGCAAAGGGCACGAAGAAACTCCGTTGCCCGGTGGTTTGCTTCCTTTTTTCGACTTCTTGTATTTGGTGAATAATACTTTGTATTTCCCCCGTTGGTGTTAATGGGAATCGATCCCTACTGTAAATATATATATATATTTCCAGGGGACTTAAACACATTGATGTAAGGGTTCCCATTTAAAGTGAACCAACCAAACAAAGGGTGCTCCTTTTTTCCCATGGAAATCCACTGGGCATTTGAGGAAAGTTCGAGGGTTTTTGCGTGTATGGCTCCCTTTGCCAGCAAGATGTTCTGCTCTGTTGGTGTCTCTTGTTTGGGAGGACGCTCTATGGGAGGGATTCCAAAAAACGTGTGTCAATTGGGTTTTCGGTGGATCGGATTTTGGGCCAAGCACCACTCAAAGTCTAGCCGTACCTTCCCCAGCTAAAGCGAATGTGTAATGAGCATGGTTTATTAGTCCTCACTTTACTCCCAAATAACATGGAGCCACTTGCTCAAAACCGGTTTTGATTATGACTCACATGGAGTGCAACATGTTCAGGTGAGCCACAATCTTCAGGTGAGCTACTTGCTCAAAACCGATTCAGGTAGCTGAAGGTTAGTAAGGGACAATGAGAACCATGAATAATTTGCAAGGCACCCGCCTTGCTAATTCTTGAAGCATGGTTCTGGGATTACGACCATTTAATATCGTGGTTTGATTTTGACTTACATGGAGCCGGTTTTTGTCGGAGAAATCTTCACACCTTCAGAACTAGTACCTGAAGAAACGTGTGGAATTTCCAGCACCCTTGTCGCAAGCCAGCCGGATGGGGAAGAGGTCAACCAAGGAGTTGGTGAGTGCATCGTTTTTTGAGGGAAACCAAATGTACACCTGCTTGACTGCTATTGGGTTGGATCTTTAAACTTTGACTTTTTGGTTATTTTTGGGAAATCAAGGCGGTAGCCACCAAACCCCCCCAAAAAGTTAAACACTTTTTGCAGGGGGGTCCTTGCAGCAACCAAAACCGAAGCCATGGATTTGGGTGCGGCCTCTTGCACTGAAAGCTTCGGGCCGGAGTGGGTTGAAGCCTTCAACGAGGCTTCTGGGGGTTGGCTCGGATCTGGCGCTTATGCGCTGCTTCCATTCCCCATTCTTCTTAGCCATCGTTCTTTCAAAAACCCATCGCCATTTCCCCCGGGCTTTTGCTGGTTTTCTAGCAAGATTCGGATCCCTGGGTTCAGAATGGACATGGAACTTACCCCCAGATCTTTCGCACTTCCTGAGTGGTTGGGCCACAAAAGGTATACCTAGAGCCCCCATGACCCTTTAAAAATGGGTCCATGACCCCATTATTTTGGGTAATGACCAACCATTCTTAAAGGGTCATGGAGACTCCAGGTACCTAGAGTCTCCGTGGTTATAACCCACTTACCATGGTTATAAGTCTCCTAAGTGGGTTATAACCATTGTTACTAACCACTTACTAAGTACCCTGCCCCTTTAATTAGAGTCTCCATGACCCTTTAAAAATGGTGACTGGGGAAGTTATTTCTAGAAACGCGGACGTCCGCGTTGCTCAGGTCTCTGCCTGGTCAGCAGCTACGGCTTTCTGCGGAGGCGCGAAGCCGCTGAAACCGAGCGGAAGCCGCTATCGCTTTTCTTCCATTTGCTTGAGAAAACAAATATATATATATATATATTATATAGTATATATAGTATATATATATATATGTATATATTATATATGTATATATATATATTATATATATATATATATGTTTTTCGCTGTTGGTGTTGAAGGGAATCTATCACTACGTGATTTTTCCAGGGGTCTTAACCAAATGGACGTTTTGCTGTTTGTTTTTTGGCGGTTTGGTTTTGGAAGGCGTCCCTGGACGTATTCCACCCCCTTAAAAATGGAATTGGGGAGGGGCTGGAATCCCCTAGTGATCTCCATGTGTGGTAACACATTTTCCCATGGAGACTAGATAAAATTGGACCGGGGGACCGGGTTCTTCCCCACCCCTCCTCTGGAAGGTAGGGGAGATCCCTTAATATGTTTTTGTTTTTCCCTGTTGGTGTTAAAGGGAATCGATCACTACGTGAAATACTCTTATTAATTTTCCAGGGGTCTTGACCAAATGGAAGTATTGTTGTTTGTTCTTCTTGCGGCGTCCCTGGACGTATTCCACAGGGTGGCATCTACTCAGATGCTCTGAAGGAGCTAGCTGAATGGTAATTACTTTGGTTCTAGGGGACAAAAAGCAATGGCTGGGGTGGTTTACAACAAGGGATACTGAGTTCGTAGTATTTCCTCCCACACCATCTAAGTATGTTGCGCCGCAAAGGGCCCGATTGAAACATCACCTTTTGGTGTCAATTTGAGACGAGTTGCCTTCTGGTGGATGTCCAAAACGGAAATCTAGGCAGCCATGTTCTACGAACCCAGACCAACACCCCCCCGCCCGCGCAACCCTATTGTTCGTGCTTGAATGATATGGGGTTGAATCTTTCACCTCTCGTTTTCTTGCTGGTGCTCGGTAGGGAATGAGGGAATGAACCCAGAGATTCCCAAGGAAACCACCAGTTGGATGGCTCGTAGGGATCGGTCATTCCATTTCCCTCCCCGGTGAGCACCAGCAAGTGTTTTTTTTTATTATTATTCCCTGTTGCAGCACAGTGCAAGACAAGAAGTATTTCCCACTTGCCTCCAACAAGCTACTCAGTTGTTCAGTGGCACCCTTTTTTTTTTGGTGGCTGCCCCACTAAAAATGGTCTTCCTCAAAAAGGGTTCCCTTTTTTCCGGGGTCACTGAACAACTGAGGTCATTTGCTTTTGGCGCATGTTTTTGTTTGCCAAGAATCCCATGTTCCCAGTCGCTTGGCTTCGGTTTGGTTTTAACCTAACGTGCCACGGTCTCCTTTTGGTGTTCCCATGGCGTGTGAACGAACATTTGTGGGTCACGGCGTTTTTTCCTCCCTGGTTTCAAAGCAAATGATTTTGCCCGTATTTTTGTTTTTCAGGTAAGAGACCCTGGAATGATGATTGCCCTGTAAAAACTCCAAAAAGTGGTTTCCCATGGTTTCAAAGTGGCGCCAACGGATTTTGTTTATCTACAGTAGTTTGGTTTTGACGGGGTCGTTTGTTTTTCCCAAGGGAAGGTTCCCTGTCGCGACCTTTGCACATCGTCAGGTTGATTCCGAATTTTTGATCTGTGTTCATTTCATTTGAATTTGCTTGATGTGGTTCAGTTGGTTGAGTGATTGATTGACTGATTGGTTGGTTGGTTGGTTTGGTTTGTTCGATTGAACTGACTTGAGTGGTTTATTGGTTGACTGGTTGCTTGCTTTGTTGATTGATTCAATTAATTTATTTAATTGGTTTGATTGATTTGTTTTGATTGATTGGTTTGATTGATTCATTTGATTGATTGACTGATTGATTGGTTTGGTTTGGATTGGATTGGATTGGATTGATTGATCGATCGATCGATCGGTCGGTCGGTCGGTTGGTGGTTGATGGGTTGGTGGAAGGAATTAACTCCAAGCCCGCCTGGGTTGGTTATACAAGCTGTGTCAACTCCAGAAGGCCAAACCAAGCACCTCCTTTTCACTTCCCGAGTTCTTGGACTTTAAACTTTTTGGGAAGAAAGGGGGCATGGCCCCCTTTTTTAAGGGTCATGAAGAGTCTAGGTAAGAGTCAAGAGGAGACCGACCATTTGTTAGTTTCCAATTGCGGTTCAAGATATTTGTGTTATTTTGCCTTGTTGGTTTCACACTTGGATTTTCTAGATGGATGTATTTGCTCCATTTTTCCGATGCAATGGAAGTTGGCGGGTCTTTTGACCCCGGTTGTCTCTGGGGGAAAAACGGAAAATCAATGTATATACTTATATATATTTATAAAAACAAGAACGGAGAAAAACAAAAAACAAAAAAACACCAGACAACGCCCCAAAGTTCCTAGAACCCCAGAAGCGCGAGTGCGATAGCGCCGAGGGTCTCAGACGCGGACGCGGCCAAGACCCTGGCGCTGGGCGAGAAGGACGCAGAGCAGCGCGCGTGCCTCATGATGCTCCGTGCCTCGATGCCAATGAGACTTGAGACCCCTTTGCATTTTTTGGGGGTTCTATAACTCAGGTCGACCAACTAGGTCCGCCAGTAGTGCCCTTTTACCCTTTTTCGGGGGAGGGTTCCTCTACTAAAACAGACTAACTACAGGAAAAAGGTGCCCTCATTATATAACCTCTCTACTGGAGGACCTAGCCAAGGCCAAGCTTCTGACCTTTTGGTCCCTTGGTGACCATTTTTAATCGTGGCAACCCAAAAGGTCAACCTTTGACTAGGTCCCCCAGCTAGGCGCCCTTTAGTGTCTTTTTTGGTTGGGAGGGCTCCGCCACTAAAATACGATGCAGAAAAAAGGGGTACCCTTATTCTAACCTCTCTACTGGAGGACCTAGGTGGGATCAAGGGGTTTCCAATTGACAAAATTCCGAACAACAATTGGTAGCCTCGACAAAGACACCACGTGGAGTCCCAAAACTTTTTTATGTTCCTGGTGGTTGTCCTTTCTTAGTTCAAAGCGATCGAGCTTTTGATCTTTTGGTTTTACCGTTTTGGGTTTCCATGTTTAGTCATCCCGAAAGGTCATCAACTTTTCTTTATGGGTCGTTTGGGCATTTGAGTTTCTCTCCACTGTGATGCAAGGGAGTCCCCTCTTTATATGGGGGGCTAGTCTTTGGGAGGCCTTGTTTGTTGTGCAGCCCTGCTTTGGGCAAATTTTGGCAGTCGAATCATTTTGTTTCTGTTTCTGGGGGTAATCAAAGTCAGAAAATGGGTCGTTGTTACACTTGAACCCACTTGGGAAAATGGGTGACTTTGATCATGGCAAAAAAAGTCTGCCAGTTTGGGGGACTTCAGACTCAGAACCCTGGACAGGTTCTCAATGATTGGTGCTTAGGGTTGTGGGATCAAGGGCTTATCCCCACTTCTGTGATACAAGGGAATCTCCCCCTTTTTATGGCAGGTCTGTCTTTGGGAAGCCCTTTTCGTTGTATCACAGAAGTGGTCGTTTCCCACAGCCCTGCTGGTGCTCTTTGGGCGTGTGTGTTTTTCATTTGCCTGGGCCATCAGGCGCAGAGGGGGCCTGAGGGCGCGTATCGTTGGCACTGCGGATGGACAAAATCCATTTCGCACCACTTGGAAACCGTGGGAAGCCGTTGTTTTTGTTGGCATTTACCTAGAGTCTCCGTGACCGATAGAAAAGGGCCCATTTGACCCCTTTCTTTTGGGCAATGACCCCCTTTTTTAAGGGTCATGGAGAGTCTAGGTACAGGGGAATCATCCTTTCAGGGTTTGTTAGGTGCGAAATGGATTCCGTCCATCCACGGTGGCCCTTGCTCTTCAGCAAGTGTTCGTGTTGATTGGGCGTGTGCGCAGAGCTGACGGGGTTTGGGTCAAACATCATCGCAGAACATGTGGCTGTGGCTCAAAAAGAAGTGCCCAAAAAGGCTCCTTGGCACGTGGAAGCAAAAAATAACGCCTGTTTAATTTTCAGCCACAGCCATGCTAGGTCTCCCAGCTAGGTGCCCTTTTACCGTTTCTTTTTTGGGGGAGGGGTCCCCTACTAAGTTAGACTACAGAAAAAGGAATAAAAAACAATCGGGTACCCTTATTCTAACCTCTCAGATGTGGAGGACCTAGCCATGTGTGCAGAGCTGCGAGGCTTCTCACGGTTGTTGTTGGGAAGCATTTTACATTCTTGCTTATTGTGGTTTAGTGGTTGAAATCCAACCACTCAACTTCTGAAACTTACAATTTTCGCTCCCCTTCCAACGGCAACCATGCTAAGAATGGTTGACCCAATTTTGATGATACTCCCAACCCTAGCCAAAGACCTAGCCCTCATTTGAGGCCCCAAGGGCTCGGCACTCATATTTCGCTTCAAAGGAGTCTTGGGGTAAACGGGTGCCTGGAGTCTCCATGACCCCTTAAAAATGGTGGGTCATTACCCTAAATAATGGGCCTCTTTTTAAAGGGTCATGGAGACTCTAGCTGGTTATCCCACTTCCGAATTTCGTGCACTTTACGTTTCTTCAAGAACAGCTTGGTAAATTCCCTAGGAGCCCCTTGGACCTCACCCCTTGGACCTCAATTTATTTAAGGTCTTGGGTCAAAGGCGCTCAAGGTCTTGGGCTCCCAGGGATTAGCGATGGACTTGTTTTTGGCCCATCCGCTCGATAGTCTTACCTCTTAAAAACACAACTTTTCGTAACTTTTTGGGTAACATGGGCTATCTGTCTGTAAAAGGTGAAAACTTCCCCAATCCTTGGAGTTTTAAGGGGTAAGTAGTGGTAAAAAAAAGAAACACGCGAACTGCGGGGGCCGCCTCCGGCCGCACCCTTCCCTTCCTCCCCCGTCGGGTGGGGTCACCGGAGAGGCTCGGTGTGCGATGCCGTGGTGGAGCTCGATGAGAAGCTGAAGCTCCTGGGGACTGAAGCTGTTTTTTTTTATTCTTCTTCTTCTTCTTTGTTTTTTGCTGTTTTTTGTTTGTTTTTTTTTTTTTCCTTTCTGTAAAGAAGTGATTTGTTTTCCTTGTTTCTAAACAAGTGTTTTTGTTTGTTTCTTTTGTGTAAAGAAGTCTAGGTCCCCCAGCTAGGTGCCCTTTCTCACCGTAGAGAATTGGTAATGTTGACCCCATATTATTCAAGCAACCCAGTTTTTTCATACTGTGGATGGACGAAATCCTGCACCACCTAAGAAACCCTGGCATGATGATTCGCCTGTGAATACCAACAAACAACGGTTTCCCATGGCTTCAAATGGTGCGAAATGGATTTTGTCCACCCACAGTAGCGGGTTGTTCTTTTCAGGCCCCTCCAAAAGTGGTCTGATTCCAACCACATTTCACCCAGGAACGGAGACGCCGCCCCCCTGTTAAGAAACAGGTTGGTTGATGAAACTCTGGGGTCAAAATTATTTTCTTGGATGTCCAACCGACTGGAGAAGCTAGAACCATGGTTGTAACTTAGGATACTGGGTAGAGAATTGGTTAAGGATTTCCTTTTGGATTCAGTTCTTTCACTCAGTTGCCCAAAGCCGACCTTCTGACCTTTCGGTTTCTCCTTTTTGGTCTAGTTTTAGTCATGACCCCAAAAGGTGATCACCTTTTATTTCTGGGTCCTTTGGGCAAGTGAGTTCAACTTGGGCCGATTGGGTCGAATGGGAACAAACCCTGCTGAGGCGAGAGTGTAGCGACTGCCCCAGTGCCCGCGGAAAGGGCAACCCGTTTGCAGGTACCCTTTTTGGCGGTGTAAGCGAATCCAAGGGAAGACTGCCAAATGGCTGTGGCTCAAAAATAGGTACCTAAAATGGCACCTTGGTAAATGGAACCAAAAACTAAAACCTGCGTAACCCTGGCTCTTAAATTTTGAGCCACACCCAAATCTTTGAAGTGTATGCTTATTTCAGGCCCCGCTCGCCTTCTTGCATTCCTTTGCTGTTTTTTTTCCAACCTTTCGTCGAGTGGCATGGGCTACTTCTCGAGTGGAGAATTGCCAATTTTATGGCAAGCTCATTGGTTTGAGGGAAAGACCAACTCGCCCTGATATACACCCAGACTCTCCATGACCCTTTAAACATGGGGTCATGACCCCTTTATTTTGAGTAATGACCCCATTTTTTAAGGGTCATGGAGAGTCTAGGCACAAAAGCTCACAACTCTGGCAAAAGTCCCTTCAACGAGGCATGGCATTTTGAGGCTAGCGCTCGGCGTTTTGGCGTTTTGCCCTGGAGATCCTTAGCTTCAAAAAAAAGCTTCGGCAACTGTTTGCTCAAGTCTGCAGTCTCGGAACCTGACCCGTTCTCAAAATGGTGGGTCACGGGTCATGACCAACCATTTTTACAGGCTCAGAAGGAGAATCGAGTAGTATCAAACTGAAAATCTCCAAATGGGTAGTGTCTCTTTGGCTTCCATTTCAGAATTTCAGTCTGAGATGGAGTCTCCGAATCTGAGCCTTTGATAAGAAAGTCATGACCCCATACTCGGCTGTGCACGGATATGTGTGCTTTCCCATTTTGGGTTCCTTTCTTTTGAGTACTGGTCCCAAAAAAAGGTGATATCACCTGATTCTTTCTGGGTCATTGGGGCACCTGAGCGTATTTTTGGTAGATGACCTTTTTTTGTTCATGGATCTTCCCAGGTGCCCAGAACAGACCTGTGGGTCGCTTTGTTTTTTGGTTTGAGTTGCTAGCCTTTTGGAGTGGTTTGAAAGGGAGACCAAAAGGAAGCCATTCTGGGTTCCCCAAAAAACAAGACACCCCAGCATATGTTTTGCCATCTTCCAACGTTGCTGGTTTCCCTTTGGAACCAACTCCAAACATGGCGCCCTGAAAAAATGACACGCCCATTTCGAGTCCGAGGATTGTGGGGGATAGCCGGCATTTGCACTGCTGGCTGCTCCATGGAAGGGAGAGCTCTCCAGAGGAGTGGCTATCGAATGGCATTTGGGTGTGTCGCTTGTCGAGGGTTCTCCTCTTTTTTGTTTTTAAAGGGAAACCGGGAAAACCACGGTGTTTGGTTACGGTACCCTCAAAAGAAGACACCCCCGTTTTTGTGCAAAACCGGCTCGTGAAATTTGAGCCACGCCCATTTGGGTGTGTTGTTTTCTTGGGGACCCCCCAAAACGAAAGCGGTGTTGAAGGGGAGCCAACGTGAAGGTACCAATTTTGGGGGTTAGACAGCTCCCAATTCGGAGGAGTACCTCTGGCCTCTGCTTTTGGCTCCAAATCTTCCATGGGCTTAAGACATTTTGTTATTTTCCCTTGTTGGTTTTAAAAGGAATTGTCACTACTTACTATTTGTTTCTTTTCCGGGGGTCTTAACCAAATGGAAGAAAAGGGTCCCTAAAAATAATAATATCTGCACATACTGTGCATGGTTGTGAAATCCATTTCGCACCACCGAAGAAACCCTGAAAGGAGTGGTTCTTCATGGTTTCAACATGGTGCGAAATGGATTTTGTCCACCTACAGTAGTGGGCTGTTCTTTGAGGCCCCTCCAAAAGTGGTCTGATTCCAACCACATTTCACCCAGAAACGGAGAAGCCGCCCCCTGTGGGTCCCCCATTGCCCCAATGGTGCGAAATGGATTCCGTCCACTGTATTTCTTCCGTCCTTCCAGGCAAACGGCGTAGAAAACTTGGAGCTAGAAGTACCCGATTCAGCGTTTGTTTTTTTGTTTTTACCTCTTCTCCGGAATATGCGTGGGTCTTCTTTGAGGGGTGACCACTCCAAGCATCCGCGTTCCCCTCAATGAACGAATCCTGTTGTCCTACTTTGAGTGGAGTAATGTGGATGGACGAAATCCTGCACCACCTAGCAAACCCTGAAAGGATGATTCCCCTGTAACTGGCAACAAACGACCGTTTCCCATGGATTTCAAGTGGTGCAGAATTTCGTCCATCCTCAGTACTTCCGCAGAATTAGTTCCCCTTTTTCATGTTTTGCGTTTTTCGGGTTCCCTTTGTTTTCCACTAACCCGGCAAAATAGAGGTTTTGTTTTTTGCTGGGGTCTGATTTTTCCAGCCAAGAGTTGGGCTTCCAATTTGCTTGAACCCGGATACATCTTGCTTGAGAATACCGCAAGGTGTCCTCAATGAAGCAAGCCATCTGGGGGTTCCTCCGAAATTTTGCGTTTGAGGCCAGACGAAATATTGGCCAGAATCTGAAACCTTGCTTTTGTTTTACCCTCTTTTGTTATTTGTACCGATCAATGTTGGGCCAATAACTATACCTAGACTCTCCTAGACCCTCAAAAAATGGGGTCATGACCCCTGGATTTTGGGCAATGACTTCATTTGTTAAGGGTCATTGAGAGTCTAGGTAGTCCTAAAGATTCTCAAAATCCAGACATCGCACCGTTCAGAAACCCTGGTTGTTGATTCGGTTCCCCTGTGCCAACAAATTCAACGGTTGCAACCATGGGATTCAAGTGGTGCAAAAATTGGATTTCGCAACCATCCACAGTATCTAGGTCCCCCAGTAGTGCCCTTCTTAACCCCTTTTTTTGGGAGGGTTCCTAGAATACACTACAGAAAAAAATGGTGCCCTTGTTCTAACCTCTCTACTGGAGGACCTAGGTATGACTCATTAAAATGAGGTGTTTGTGTCTGCTCGGATTCAATTCGATTTGGGCTCCAAGATCTCATTCCCAGATCGATGATCGAAGCGAGATGATCGGGGTTCCGGGACGAATCACCTGGGCCACTTTGCCATGGGAACCGGGGGCAAAGCCGTTTGTAAGTTATAACCAGGGCAAAGGGGAACCTAAGCCGTTTTTGAGTTATCTCAGTTGTTCAGTAGCACCGAGTCTCTTTTTACAACTTTTTGTTGGTGGCCCCACTAAAAAATCGGTCTTCCTCAAAAAGGGTCCGGGGTCACTGAACAACTGAGAACCAGGGCAAAGCTAACCGTTTACAGTTGGGTCAAGGTAGATGGTGCAATTCCAATCCATGTTGGGATTTTCTGTCAGTCTCCGTACCCAAAAGTACTCGCGCCATCTACTTTCTCGCCCAACAGCTAGATAGTTTCACACATTATTGACCATGGTTTTAGAGTACTCCACAGCCACATGGCTGTGGTTGTCAAAAGCAATGGGATCCCATTGTGGGGCTTTCGGTGAATTCACCACCCATTTCAGGCTTCCCATTTTAGTGGTTGGATTGAATCGGATGTTCACCGGGGGCTAACCGATTTGGCTTTGGATTTTGACCCATGGCCACATGTTCCAAGGATGCCAAGCCCCTTCCCAGTGCTTGCCAAGCCACTGGCAACTCCTTAAGGCTAGGTCCCCCAGCTAGGTGCCCCTTCTCTCCCCTTTTTTGGTTGGGAGGGTTCCTCGACTCAAAAAGACAAAACCGGAAAAAAGTCGGGCACCAACTTCTTCTAAGCTCTCAAATCTGGAGGACCTAGTTTAGGTTGTCTTAACGTCGACCCACTCTAAATTCACCCCCAGCTGATTACTAGGGAAATCGAACCGGGATTTGTGGGGAATCCTAGCCTCAGATTCGAAGACACGTCCATGGCTTTGGCTTCTGCCTGAGAGGACGAGGAGCTGCAGCAGTTCGTGCAGGAGGACACTTTCGACTGGGACACGGGGAGCTCGTCATTTTTTCTTTTGTTTCTGGTGTTTGAGCCCAGAACTTGCTGGTTTGAGAACTTGCTGGTTTGAGATCCTTAATGCTTTTTTGTTTTTTGTCTGGTTAGAGCCCAGAACTTGCTGGTGTGATAAGGGGATGTGGGAATGAGCCAACGAATTTTCCTGGAAGCAATCCACCAGTTGGATGGTTTGGAAGGGTCATTCCCCTCACCAGCAAGATACATGCCACGTTCCCTAAGGGTCATGACCCCTCCAATGCACACCCCCGGACCCTCCAATGGAGAACCTCAGGGGCCCAATAGAAAACAACCAGTTTTGAGGGCCCATAAACTATCGAGACCCTGAGTTGTTGAAACATGTTCGTGTCCCAATAAACCACGTCAAGCAAACGGATGGCTACGGCACCCACCTGAGTTCGGAGCCGTTTCACTGGTGGGTTTTCAGGGGGACCCCTTTCTTTTTTTAGCGGGTGCTCGTAAACAGGCTCCAGCGTATCCCAAATACAGTGGTTCCCCTTGAACATCCGAAAAGCAATTTAAAAACAAACAAACTCTTTCTGAATGAAAAACGGGGTGTTCTCCCTCCCCCCCAAAAAATAAATAAAATCAAAAAGGGAAAGAGAGGGGGGGCTCAAGAAGTTCCATTGCGGGAGAAGATGGAGCGATGTTCCCTGGATCACTCAATTGGAGCCCCTGGGACCTGGGACTGTGAGTGGACAAAATCAACCTGTTTCTTACCAGGCGGCTTCTCCGTTCCTGGGTGAAATGTGGTTGGAATCAGGCCACTTTTGGGGCCTGAAAAAAACAACCCACTACTGTGGGTGGACAAAATCCATTTCGCACCACTTGAAACCATGGTTGAAACCGTTGCTTGTTGGTTTTCACAGGCGAATCGACTCATGCCACGGTTTCTGAACGGTGCGAAATGGTTTTCGTCCACTTGTGACACATGAATCGATTTCTCAACCGACGCGAAGATGCTACAAAGGTTCTGACCCCTAGGGACACCCCAAAACCCTCAAAGCCGGTTTGGTTGAAGGCCCAGTAGTTTGTACGAGAGCCTTCGGGTGGTCAACAACCAGTTTCCCGACTTTGTCCCGACCCCTCTGAACCGGAAGTGGCTCAGTTTCTCGACTCAATACACCCCCTACTCCAAATACCTTCTTTTTTAGGGTATGATGTCGACCCTCCACTACAAAAAGGAATTTACCATGGACACCCGATCGGTTTTTCACAAACTACCCTAGAAAGAGAACGGGTATTTGGCTTAGTTGTTCAGTGGCACCAATTTGTTTTTCCTTTTTTTTTGGTGGCTGCCCCAATAAAAAGTTGGTCTTCCTCAAAAAGGATTCCCTTTTTTTCCGGGGTCACTGAACTGAGGTGGAGTCGGGGGCAGTTCCTTCCCGCTTCAAGTCTTTCACTTCGCCAGGCCGACCGGGAGCTCTTCATCCGCGAGCTGCGGAAAGAGCGCCAGGGCCGGGGCCCCACTCTATATGCAATATTCACACATTTTAAAGGCTTACCCTCGAAATAGATCCCATGTTGGATACACAGTCGCATTGAGTGCACAAATGCCCTTGGTTAATTATCTTCTCTGTTGTTTTTCTCGGGGGGTTCCCCGCAAGGTTCTTTTCCTCACTGGAATTCCCTGCGACCGGCTTGGGGATCCCCTTTCGTTTTCAACCGGCTTTGGACTTTCGTTCCTGGCTCCAGGAAGCCGAAGGGCGGAAGGGTTTCCTTGCGAGCGTGGGCGAGTGGTGTTTAAGGGTTCCTTGGTCTTTGGGCTCGCATTTGTTTCTTTTTTGGTCTATAGGGCCTATAGAAAGTCACCAAAGAATAGGGTCTTTCTTGTTCCTTGGCTTTCTTTGGGTCTTTGGGTGTCTGGTCCTTGGGTCTTTTGTTCCTTCCTAGACTCTCCTTCTGACCCGAAATAACAATGGGTCAATGACACCATTATTTTGGGCAATGACCCCCTTTTTTAAGGGTCATGGAGAGTCCAGGTGTGGGTGTCTTTTGTTCCTTGGCGTGTTTGATTCTGTGGCAGGTGTTTTATTGCGCGGTTTTGGTTCTGTTGAGGAAAAGCCACACAAAGTGGTTCGCGAACATGCCAAGGATTTGACCACAATCTAACGAGATTGATTTGGCGAACCTTTTCAGGAACCACCAAGAAAACGAGAACAAAAAGGAGCGCCCAGCCAACCGCCCCCCCCAATAAAAAGAAACATTCGAGTAGGTGGTTCTACCGTTAACATAGGTACCCTCCCTCCAACAATCATGGAAGCTGACAGGCGGGTTTTGGAAAACTATTTTCCTTTTGGGCAACCCCTTTGTCCACTTCCATGATTGTTGGACAAAGGGTATATGTCAAGCTAGAAATGGTTTTCCCTTTGGCTTCCGTTGAAACCAAGGGTGAAACGATGCCCCGTCGAGAAGCACGCCCAAAGACAAAAATAATCGTGAGGCCTGTCCGCGTTGGTCGAACCAAGTTGGCAAAGAATCCATCTCTACCTAGACTCTCCATGACCAATAGAAAATGGGGTCACTGCCCAAAAGAAAGGGGTCATGACCACGGTGACTCTAGGTACTGGAAGCTGATCGATCGTTTAACCTTTTAGGGCCCGGTTTGGTCAAGTTACCCTTTGATTTCTGGGTCCTTTGGGCAGGGGAGACAAAGACTTTCTGTGGAGGTTTCTTATAAACAAAGGTTCCATGGCTTTTCCGCTCTCGTTGGTCCGGGTTTTAGGTTTGACTGCCGCAGCGGCCTTCCATTTGAAGATGAGGGACAGCTCAGGCAGGGCAGGGCTACCTCGATGATTTTAGACTTAGCTAAGCGGGTAGAAATCATGGTTTTAAGCAACTTACTCTGGTTGTAAGTCCTCTACGGGACCTAACTAGGGCTAATAGCAGTTTAGCTAGCTCCCGGATCATCTAAGTACCAATTTCCGCTTAGACTCCCAAAACGCAAAGGAAAGGAAGGAGGAGGGTCCCTGCGAGGGATATTGTCTTCCCGGGGGTCTCTTTTCAGGTTTTCTTTTCAGATTCCTCGCTGGTGCCAGAGAGGCAGGGAATGAGAAATGGAATGACCCTCAACCATCCAACTGGTGGCTAGGTCCCCCAGTAGCGCCCTGTTACCCTTTTGTGGGGGAGGGTTCCCCTACTAAAACAGACTACAGAAATCTAACCTCTCCACTGGAGGACCTAGGGTGGTTTCCTTTACGGGAATATCAAAACGGTTCATTCCCACCTTCCCTACTTCTCGCACCGATCGCAAGATTCGGAAGCCCCTGAAGTGGCCCGTCTGAATTGGCGCTGAAGAGTGACAGCCCAAGGCTTCTGCCACGTCTCTTGGCGCCTTTGTTGTTCAGACTTGAGATTCAAGCTGTGAAAAAGAAAACCTCATCAACCCATTGGCACCCTTCGCTTACAACATGGGGTCTACCAAAAGTTATGTTGGTGTTTCCTCCATGTTACCTTGAAATTACATCGCACCCAGTTTCCTCCATGTCCGTTTTGCGCAAGCTCCCAAAGCTTCGGCCATGCGCCAGTGAAACTCGCCCGTAGACTCTCCATGACCCAAGATGGAGTCATCACCCCTTTCGTTTGGGTTATTGTTCATATTCTATCCCATAAAAAACGGGTTGGACGCGGATGCCCTTCATTATGACAAACCATGGCGTCAGCGCACCTTTCCTTAGTATACGGGCAAAGCTAGGCAAACACTGCAAGCAGAAGCTTCATTAAAAGCACGGAGACCACACAACATGGCAACCAGATATAGTCACAGAGAAACACCCCGGAGTGCTAAGTACAAAATAAGTTCACCTCGTTGTACAGCTGCCTTTGACCTCCCTGCGACTTTGACCCCCAAGTCCCGAAGCTTGCCCGGAGGCAAACACAAACACAGCCCAAAAGAGACATCCATACACGCAGGTTTTTTGTGGCTTTTGTCTTGCTGGTGCGATAGGCAGGGAATGAAACATGGAATGACCCTTATAAACCATCCAACTGCTGGATTCCTTTAAGGGGACTAAAGCCTGGGTTCATTCCCACATTCCCTACTTATCGCACCAGCAAGTTGTGACTTTTGCACCAAGTCTTAAAGTCACAGCCCTTTCCGCCCCTGGAGAAGGCAAACTTGCAGATCGTGTCTACCGCTTCAACAACATTGGCAGGTGGTGGCCCTGACGTTTGAATCTAAAGTTGGATTCTAAAGTTGGAGGTCGTATGTGTTGCTTTTCTGAAAAGGGGGTATCTTGCCCGTGTATTGTTGGGGTTCTATTTGGGTGTGAGCTTGTTTGAGTTGGGACCGATTTTTGTGGTTTCAATTGGAACCGAAAGGAGAATGCCGTTTGGGGGGGGGGTCTAAAAAGACACCCTATTGTCTACTTTGAAGATTGTGTTGGCATTGTACCTGCTTATTTGTTTCCCGAAAGTGGGTGTAGTTTGTGCATTTTGAAATAGGGGTGCCTGGGCACTGCATTTTGTTGTTGTTGTTGGTCGTATGTGTTTGTGCATTTCCTGTTGTGTTCAGGTGTATTTTACTTGTTCGGACATTCATTTTATATTGCCCATCACTATGCAACAGGAATTGTCAATTGCAAGTGTCTGAAATCTGCAAATGGGTCTGTCTCAAAGCAAGAGAGCCCCAGAAATGATGAATGGGTGGCCTTTTGGTTTCGCTTGAGGTGAAAAGGGTATCCTCCAAATAGGATACTCAAGTATGACCCTCGCTGAAGTGCATGAACAACGTCCATGCCCATCGGCACCAGTGGATGAAATGCTGATCCAGTGGGTTGCTTCCTTTCTCCACTTTTCTTTGGGGGGGAAGAGTTCATACGAGAAATCAAATAACAAGAGCGCCCTGTCTTTCCCACTGGGCTCTGGGAATTTTCTGGGGCAACATGGGCTTGTATCATACGGATCTGAGCCCCAACGGATGGTTTCAAGTTGGTTTCCCTTTCAAACTGGTCTGAGGCTTCTTGTTTCGTATGTGGAGTCTCCTTCCGACCCGTCAGCTCTAGCCGCTAGACCAGCCATGTTTCTCCACCAAAATCGCCACCCTGAGGGTCCCGGGACCCCTCCAATGCACACCCCCGGACCCGGACCCTCCAATGGAGAACCCCGACCAACCAGTTTGGAGGGCCCCCCAAAACCATCCATCGACCCTTACCTAGAGTCTCCTTTTTGACCCCTAGAAAAAGGGGCCCATTTGACCCCTTAATTTTGTGCAACGACCAACCATTTTTTTAAGGGTCAGAAGGAGAGTCTAGGTAGAGCAAAAGACACAAAAAAACCAGTTGGCCTTTGGCCCTCTTGTTTGGATCGCGAGTTGACCGTGGCCATCTTTGGACGCCGCGGCGCGCGGCGCGCGCTGCTCGGTGGTAGGCACAGTGGTGCCGGTGGAATGCTTCCACGTTCGCTTCCAGTCGGCGCTGGGGCAGCGGCACTTACTCGGACTCCGCGCCTCGCTACAAGTTTCCTCGAACTGAAGCGGGTGTTTGGGGGCGGTGCGGGTCAATGGGGGGGAAACCTCAGGGAATTTTAGGGAAGACTAAGGAACCCGAAAGGAAATCCAAGGATTCCTACAAAACCCTAAGAAAGGCTAGGGAACCCTAGAGGTTTCCTAGGGAACCCTAGAAAACCTTAAGGAACTCTTCTCTAGGGAGCTCAGAACCATAGGCGCACGGCTTATGCGAGGCTTTTGCCTTGCTTCGCTAGGGGATGAGAGACTGAATCCGATCTTAAGCAACCCGACAGGGGCTCTCAACTACCTACCCTCCCTCCCTGCCTACCCCCTTCAAAAATCACATAGAAAGGGCGTGTCATGCTGGTTTGGATGGTGTCTCCGCGAGTTTTCACGAAAGGAACCGGTTCAAAAAGGGGGTCCATTTCCCCACAGCTTCGAAGCAGAATAAGCAGAATTGGGGGGGCCCCCATCCTTGGAGTAAGGGGACTTTTGATGGTCGTCTTCCAACTTCCACAAAGGGTTCATCACTTTTCGAGCGGAACACCCGCATGTGCCTAGGACGAGCTCATTAATCCATGGTTAACGTTGGCTGCCCTAGGATCTGCCCTAGGATCTGCCCTGTACCCCTAGGATTGGCTTTAAAGAGTAATACATGGGGCTGAACGATGGTTAAGACCATTCTCCCATGGTCATGACTTGATTTAGCCTTAGCCCCCATTCTACTTGCCCCTTTCATTATCCTGCTTCGATGTTCGGCCAACTTAGTAAGGGGTCAACTAGTTAGAGCCCACGATTCACAGGGGACTAGCCGAACGCCCAAGTGCCCCTTTCGGGGTGGTTGAAAAATTATGTTAAGGCTCACAGGCCCCAATCTCGAGGGTGCCTCATTTTGAGACACCCCCACTTTGTGTGTTTTTTGGAGTAGAATCGCTCGCCGTGGTCCAAATGGGCGAATTCGGCGGGGGGGGGGGGGTTGTCAATATGGCGCCTTGTGCCGCCTTCTAAATAGGATACCAAACAGAACCCCCCCGCACATCAGTACATGTTGACCTAACTTCCTTTGGGTGGAGGTATGTTTGTTTGTCTAATTTTACTTTTGCCTGCTTTTCAAAGGAGGACTTGGGGATTGGTTACTGGGAATTAAGTTTTCCCGCCCAATTGCTGACGACTTTCCCTTTTTCTTTCACGACTTGGTCCCATCCATGCAGAGATCACGCTGAGGTGAATACGGGGAAATGAGCGGCAGCATTGTGCTCTCGCAGCAGCTTTCCTGCGATAGCCGGCAACATGTGCTCACACCTAGACTCTCCATGACCCTTAACAAATGGGGTCATTGCCCAAAATCAAGGGGTCATGACCCCATTTTTTAAGGGTCTAGGAGAGTCTAGGCAGGTAGAAACGCAGGATGTGATCAATCGCCATCATACTGCTTCATGTTTTCCTTGGGAAACCACCAGAGGTGCCAGATAACTAGCTAGTAGTTTTGGAATTGTCTCAAAGGGAAACACAGAGATGCTACATCGCCCATATTTGTCCGTTGTCCCCACGGTCAACAAACAGGGCATGGGTGCTTCTTTGCATGTTTCATCGCACCTGGCTGAGGGATGGCTTTGGACCACATGTTAATGGGGCTGCGGTTTTTGTTGAAGGCACACACACACACACACGCGTTTTTGGTCAGGTTGGTTAAAAGCGAAGAGGAAAGCCGCAGCAATTTGAGGGCCCAAATCCCTACTTTGACACAGAGATTGGCCTGGATGCTTAAATGTCGATAGGGAGCCTTGCCAGATGATATTTCATATTTAGCCCGGGTGACGTTTAAAATCAATGTTTAAGGGGAAAGAACTCGGGAACTGCGAGGTTCGGGTTACTCGGGCCGAGCAGGGTCTGGATTCAAGTTGTCGTGGCTTTGCTTCCGAACAGCTCTGACCGGGGGTTCGGGGTCACTCGATTCTTCCCCGAAAAAGTGGATATATTTAGATATAGACTCTCCTTTTGACCCTTAAACTAATGGTTGGTGATTACCCAAACGAAAGATTCGGGTCATGACTCCCATGTTTTAGGGATGGAGAGCCTACGGCTGGGCTCCACTGGCGCGATTTTTCGCCACTTTTGGAGCTTGCGCCGCGGGACAGTCCGAAACACGGTGAGACAACTCCAACCAGACGCGAAGGTGCTTGGTCCGGACGGCTCTGGCTCGGCTGAGACGTGCCAAAGACTCTCGAAGGGGAGTGAGACTCAGAGCCAGACATGCTTCGCGTACGAATTTTCTCTTGACCCGTTTAGCTGACCAACCAAGTTTTTAGGGTCAGAAGAAGATCTGATTCCTGTACCACTGTGACTCAAGTGGTCTTTTGTCATGGCTTACCTTCACGATCCGCACACCTTGTCCAGGCTGGTGCTCTTCCGGAAGGGGCTCTTAAGCATAGACCAATGGTTTAACTGCGGTTACATACTCTCTGTCAAGCGGCTTTGCAGTGTACAATTATTATACCACTCTCCATGACCCTTTAAACAAATGCAAATGGAGTCATGGGCCGTTTCTTTGGGTAATGACCAACCAGTTTTAAAGGGTCAGAAGGACACTCCAGGTACATATCATCAAACACCCAGGGGATCGGGACCCATTCCAGGTGCGGCCGAATGTGAGCCACAATCAAAGTAGGTGAAGGTAGGTGAAGGGGCAGTCCCAGCCGGAAATAGTTTCGGAATTCCGCCTTTCTATTTCTTGAAGCATGGTTCTGGCATTTTTGTAGGGCAGTCCCAGCCGGAAACAGTTGCGGCCGCCTTTCTATTTCTTTACATGGTTCTGGGTTCTGGCATTTTTGTACCAGGTTTTGATTGTGACTCGTGTGCCTTTTGTTACACATGCCTGAGGCATGTCCAGCGGCCCACGCGCCTAGCCTCGCACAGGGCGCCGGAACGTCATGCGCCCCGGCTGGAAACCATCCGCCGGTGAAGCTCGGCCCATGGTAGCTAGGTCCCCCAGTGCCCGTCTCTCCCCTTTTTTGGGAGGAGGGTTCCCGTGCTGAAATGGACTACAGAAAAAAAGGGAACCCCATTTTGCTGTCGAGTCTTTCGAGTGGTTTGGGACCCTAAGGCAAAGTCTTTCCTGCTGGTGGCAAAGAGCAGAGCACGAGCAGAAGTAGTAGCAGTAGTAGTAGAAGGAGAAGTAGTCCAAGCAGAAGCAGGAGTAACAGTATAGAAGGACACGGTAGCAGTAGTAGTAGCAGTAGCAGTACTACTACTGATGATGAAGGCCCAGACACGATGGGTCCCCTAACGGGAGTTGACGCATCAGCTGACTGTGCAACACGACGTGTGGAAGGGCTGCGCACTGTGGACATGACGGCTGACACCATAGCAAGATCGAGCTCCTCACAATCTAAATCCCTATTTGGGGTGGAACTAGAACGTGGTTCTGATGGTGGAGACAAACGTGTTGAGGCCATGGTTGAACTCTCACGACGGCGGCACCCTTTATGCACACACACACACACACGACTAGCTTCATGCGCTTTGAGCAGCGTGTTGAAGTGCAATGTGGGCTTGCCCAGGATTGACAGCTACTGGCAACTATAAAGAGCAACCACAGTGGATGTCTTCAAGCGCTGTGCCTTGGGCGACGGCTTAATCCAAGCGGTTAGTAGTAACTGTAGTAGAAACCTGTCGACCCTTCAACTTCGCAAACCCTTAGTAACTTAGTAGTAGTAGTAGTAGTAGTAGCAGCAGCAGCAGTAGTAGTAGTAGTAGTAGCACTACGTATTAGTAGTAGTAGTAGTAGTAGCAGCAGCAGTAGTAGTAGTAGTAGTACTACGTATTAGTAGTAGTAGTAGTAGTAGCAGCAGCAGTAGTAGTAGTAGTAGCAGCAGTAGTAGTAGTAGCAGCAGCTGTAGTAGTAGTAGTAGTAGTAGTAGTAGTAGTAGTAGTAGCAGCAGCAGCAGCAGCAGTAGTCGTAGTAGCAGCAGCAGTAGTAGTAGTAGTAGGAGTACTACGTATTAGTAGTAGTAGTAGTAGTAGTAGCAGCAGCAGCAGTAGTAGTAGTAGTAGTAGTAGTACTACGTATTAGTAGTAGTAGTAGTAGCAGCAGCAGTAGTAGTAGTAGTAGTACTACGTATTAGTAGTAGTAGTAGTAGTAGCAGCAGCAGTAGTAGTAGTAGTAGCAGCAGTAGTAGTAGTAGCAGCAGCTGTAGTAGTAGTAGTAGTAGTAGTAGTAGTAGCAGCAGCAGCAGCAGTAGTCGTAGTAGCAGCAGCTGTAGTAGTAGTAGTAGTAGTAGTAGTAGTAGTAGTAGTAGTAGTAGTAGTAGCAGCAGCAGCAGCAGCAGTAGTCGTAGTAGCAGCAGCTGTAGTAGTAGTAGTAGTAGTAGTAGTAGTAGTAGTAGCAGCAGCAGCAGCAGCAGCAGCAGTAGTCGTAGTAGCAGCAGCTGTAGTAGTACCCTGTCGACCCTTCGACTTCGCACACCCTTCGACCCCCCCTCCCGCCTCCGCTCGCGTTTTTTGTCGCAGGAGCATGTGGTGGAGTTCGACCCCTTCACCTGGCGGTGTCAAGGTACCTCTGAGGCGTGGAGTCGAAGCGTCGAAATCCGAAAGCGGAGGAGTCACCCCGGTTCTAGACGTACCGTTTCTAGGTCCCCCAGCTAGGTGCCCCTACTAAAATAGCCCACAGAAAAAAGGGTACCCTTACTCTAACCTCTTTACTGGCGGACCTAGTTTTGGTCTAGGGCGCCTGAAACCACCTGTTTGTAGACCATTTGGGTGCTTCCCAACATAGGAACCCCTAAAATAGGTACCTGGAGTCTCCATGACCCTTGAAAAATGGGTCCATGACCGCATTATTTTGGGTCATGGAGACTCCAGGCAGTGTGTCCTTGTTGGTTTCCCCTTGAGACCACCCGTTTGCAGGTCCACCATTGTGAGGAAACCATGTAACTTGCTGGTGCGATAGGGAGGGAATGAGGGAATACAGATTCTCTGGATGGTAAAGGCAAACCAGAGGAAACCAGACTTGGGGCCATTGAGCGGCACTCTGAAAGAAGTCAAATTCATTGGTGTGACTCGACCGGGTTGCCCCAAAAGGAAAGTTTGAAAACAAGTGGGTATGGGTCAAAATAAATACCCACCAGGGGACCGCAGGTTTTAGTCTTTGGTTGCATTTATCAGGGTTCCATTTTGGGTACGGATTTTTGACCCACAGCCAAGTGGCTTTCCCATGAAACCTGCAAAAGGTCAGACCATGAAGGCAAATTCGGGGGAAGCAGAACGCCAATGAAGATTGGAAGGCCACGAAGGGTTCCACTGGTTGCAGAGTTCAGAGAGAAATGGTGAAGCAATCAGGGCATATGGTCACAGGGGGGTCTTTTGGCCTTTTGTGAGAAAATTGGCAACCCCCTCAAAAAGGAATCCTTTACAAGGGGGTCCATCATTTTTCCAAAGGTGGCAAAAAGACCCCCCCCCCCAGTTATGGTCAAAACCCAATACCCAATTGTAGTGTGAACGGGTGACTCAGGTCCCTGAGAGAGTTTCTGGACTTGAGAGTTTTCGAGAAGACCTTCGGTCGTTGCAGCAACCAAGGCCTTTTTGTTGAGGGCGGTTCAGGGAGTGCCCTACCCGGAAGCTGGGCACCAGCAAGTTGAACAGGAGTTGGTTTTTCTGGCCCTTAAGAAAGGGTCACCCCTTATCTTTTTCTAGATGGCCCCCCATTTTGTTTAAAGGGGAGACTCCAGGTCGCGTTTTGCCACTTTGCGGAAGTGAGCAAGGGAAAGGGCTTGGCATGTGCAGTTTGTTTTCAAGAGCTTTCTCGACACTGTCCATGTTTTTGCTTGCCGGTTCTCGGCAGGGATTGAGAACCGGAATGACCCGCAAACTCGGAACGGTCATTCCCTAGCTATCGAGAACCAAATCAAGTTTGGTTTTGCTCACATGGCCAGTTTTCGCTTGGAAGTCTTGCGACAGGCCAACATTATCCAACAAAAGAAGGCCTTTGTGGCTCTATTGTTCAAAGGTGCCCCTTTCTATTTTTTTGAGGTGTTTCCCCTCAAAATCGAAACCAACCACCCAAAGAGTGCCCTTTGTGTTTTCCCTAAGCGAATCGACCGGATTTCACGGGATGGTTTTCTCATGTTGGGTTCAACCATATTTCGCCCTGGCAACCCAAAAGGTGATCGTGCCTTTTGTTTTGCTGGTGCTCAGCAGGGAATGAGTTGGAATGCCCCCGATAAACCGTCCAACTGGTGGTTTCCCTTCGGACCAAATCCTGGGTTCATTTTTTTATTCCCTACTTATCGCACCATTGTTTAAGGCTCAGATTCGGAGACTCCAGGTAGTGGTTTTCCTTTTGGTTTTCCTTTTGGTGTCCCTTTTCGCTACCAGAATGGCGTCACTATGTGGGGCAACTGAGTAACGTCTAAGCTGACCCTATGGAGGCCCCAGTTGTTCAGTGGCGGCAATTCTGTTTCCAACTTTTTTTTTGGTGGCTGCCCCACTAAAAATGGAATCTTCCTCAAAAAGGGTTCCGTTTGTTTTTCTTCTCCGGGGTCACTGAACAACTGTGTTCTGGATCCAAGAAGGTGATGTCCTGAAACTACCCCTTACTCCAAATACCCGCAAATTTATCTTCCCCAGAATCAGCTCCCCTTTTTGTTCTTTTGCTTTTTGGGGGTCCCTTCTTGTTTCCACTAACCAGGCAAAAAATACATCCAGCCTAGGTTTGAGGAAAAGTAGGGTATCTTTTTCTTGGGAAACGTGGCTTTCCAAGGCAAGTACCCAATTTTTCAGTCAAGATCATACCCTACCACACACCCTGAAAAAAGTGGGTATTGGGTGCAGTGGGTACCCTTTACATGGTCGTTCAAATGGACACAGCCCTGAATCGTAATGTTGAGAACAGCTCCAAATCTGCAGTTTACACCGGTGCACATTTAGTTGGGCCTATCCTTGACTGCTATTGGGCAACGGATCTTTAGACTTGAACCTTTTGAATCTACAGAAGAAACAACAAGTGGGACCAACTTCTTCGAACCCTCCCACTGGAGGACCCTTTCTTTTCATCCATCTGTTTCAGTTTTTTTTCGGAGGCCTTCAGACGGCTCTTCTCGGAGCGGCGGAAGGTCTTGGAGTATCTCGCGGTGCAGAGTCGGGAGCGATCCGACGCGCGCGACGGATTCGTCGCGGCCGCGAGGAAAGAAGAAGCAACATATAGAGGCCATCAAAACTCTGTTGCCCAGTGGGGTGCTTCCTTCTTCCTTGTTTTTTCCTTTTTTGGTAAGGGCTCCCCTTTAAACTCAACCAACAACAACAAAGTGCCCTTTTATTCCCATGGCCACTGGGCATCTGAGAAAATACCCTAGCCACCAAAAACGAGAATAGAACAGAAGGACGTGTCTTCTGAGAATGGGGCGCTCCAAAATGGCTTTGGTTTGCCTGCTGGCTTCCCGTGAGAGGCACACAACTAGGGGTACGAACTCAAAAAAGACAGACCCGCAAGACACCTCGACACTTGGGCATTGAAACCCTGCGAAGGGAGGATATGGGTTGCTACCGAGTTTGGGCCATTGCTCAAGCAACTTTCTGTGGTGTCCATACAAAGGGGCCCAGGGTCTGGTGTTTCAACCCTACTTGCCCAAAGCGAATCGACCTTTTAACCTTGTTGGCCCATTCCCCAAAAGGCTTACCTTTCTGGGTCCAAACTGGGCAACAGGGCCTCTCTCGGGTTTTGGAAGCATGTGAAACGAGTCGAAGAGGTGCCAAAAGCAGGTATTTGGCCTGGAATTTGTTTTGCAAGTACCTAATGTTGACCCCGGATTGATAAACCCGTCCCATCATTCGCAAGGTGCTGTACCCTCCAAAAGTGGTGAATCCCCGCTAAAAGGGGACACCCCCCCCAATAAATCAACCAGGGGTGTATTATTCCGGGGTTAACATGATGCCCCGGCAAAAAGCGCAGTATTGGGAGAGGCAACCGAGCCAAAGCCCGGCAGCATCATTCGTCTGGAGACGCCGTCGGTAGGGCGTGAAGTTGCCCGGGGAACTGATGTGATTTACCTTGGTTTGCTCAGTTGTTCAGTGGCACCCTTTTTCCCCTTTTTTTGGTGGCTGCCCCAAAAAGGGTTCCCTTTTTTTTCTCTCACTGAACAACTGAGTTTGTGGTTGCAGAAGGAGACCCTTGGAGCCCAAGACCTCGTTTGAGATCTTTTTGGGGGTCAAAGGCCCTCATATTTAGGCTCCAAGGGGCCCTATTTTCTCACAATCATGACTTCGGTCTTCTTGGGAAAACTGTCCACTTATATGGTTGTTGGAACCGGGCATTGCTCCAATCGGTTGGATTCAATGGCAAAAGTAAGGCAAACCAATCGACCATGGAATAAATTCAGCGGTTGGCGTACTTCCGTGCCAAGCAAACCGTTGGGTGCTTCAAACACTCCCCTGAGTTGTTGGACTTAACACGTTTTTAGGAACACCATGTTTCTGTTGCCCAGTGGTGCCCTTTTCCTTTTTTTGGGGAAGGGTTCCCCTTTAAACTCAATCAACAAACAACAGTTGCCCTTTTCTTCCTATGGCCACTGGGCATCCGAGCTTTTCGTGGTAAGCAAAAAAGTTGGACTTCTGCCAATCAGAAAAGGAGACTTCAACAAACACCGACGGTTGACCCGGTGTTTTTTCGATGATCCGGGACGGCTTTTGCGGCAAGTGGTATGAATCTGTTACCCGGGGGGCCCGAAGTGGCGGACATCACCACTGAGGTGGTTTTGTATTGAACTTCATAGCCAAGTGGCTGTGGCTCAAAAAACCGGTAGCAAAATGGAACCCTGGCAAGTGGACACATGGACCAAAACCCGCGGTTTGCCCCTCCTCTTTAATTTTGAGCCACTCCCAAGTGTTAGTAAGCCGGGTTTCAAGGGAAGCCGAAAGGACCGGCGAGCGCATTTTGGGGTGGACTTTTTGTGAGAGCCTCCCCGCTCCAGGAGAGCTTCGAGAGAACGGTGATCGACAGGGTGAACTACCTGACCTACTCGGATAACCAGATCGACGCTTCTTCTTCCTAGACTCTCCTTCTGACCCTTGAAAATTGGTTGGTCATGACCCAAAAGAAAGATTCTGGTCATGACCAACCATTTTTGAAGGGTCATGGAGAGTCTATAGGTAGACGGTTATTGAAGTGTGGTCTTGAAACCTTGGGTTTTGAACCCGCATAATAATCAGGGTACCCGAGAGGATCAAACTGCTATTGGTCGGATCTGCGAACTTTAACTGGACGAATGGCGAAGTGGTTATCAGCTTCCCACAAATTGGTGGCTTGGATTGGTGGTTTGGTGGAGGCTAGTTTCCCGACTCCCCTCTTCTGTTGCGAGCTTTAGTCACTTTTCGGGTTTGGACCTCAGTTGTTCAGTGGCACCCTTTTTCCTTTTTTTTTGGTGGCTGCCCCACTAAAAATGGTCCAAGCCTCAAAAAGGGTTCCCTCTTTTTTTTCCGGGGTCACTAAACAACTGAGGGACCGTGCTAGTGGTAAATATCAAGTTCAGGGGCTTCTGGCCAATCCACTTGCTCGGCATGTGATTTTATTCTTGTAGCTACCTAGACTCTCCATGACCCTTAATGCCCAAAATTAAGGGGTCATGACCCCATTTTCTAGGGGTCATGGAGACTCTAGGTACTTGGTTGGATCGATCTTTGGACTGGAGAACTTTGAATCGGAAGATTTTCCATTGGGACCAAGGCACCCCTTTTGGGTGAGTGGTTTTTTCGGGAAGCTCAAAGAGGTCCGCCAGCCAGGTGCCCTTTTACCCTTCCTTTTTTTGGGGTGATTCGGTTCCCTAGTAATTAAAATAGACCAAACCGAAAGAAGTTGGTACCCTTATTCTAAGCTCTCGAATCTGGAGAACCTAGTCCAGTAAGACACCACCGTATTATTTTTCTTTGAGTGTGCGGGGGAGGAGGCCCCTGCCTGTTGGTTTTTCCCCAGCTGAAAGCTATGGGGTCGATAGGCCCAGATTGACGCGATAAGAGGTGGTTTGGAGCAGCATTCAGGGGAAACCACCCCGCAACACCAGCAAACCACCAGTCCAAGCCACCAATTAGAGAGAAGCTGAAGTTTTGACTCACTCGTTCGAAGCGAATCGACTTGAGCACTCCAAAAGTCATGACCCGAAAAGGTGATCACCTTGTATTTCTGGGTCCAAACTTTACAACTGAGTTTTGACGGGTCACCTGGAGTCTCCTTCTCAGCCCTTAAGAAATGGCTTCTACCAAAGATACGGGGTCATGACCTCTTTTCTTTGCGATGCCGCAGTTCGTCAGTGGCACCAGTTTTCCCTTTTTGTTTGGTAGCTTTGCCATTCAAACTTGTTGTCCCCCAACATTACCTTGTTCTAACTTTTCTATTTCCCGCAGTAGTGCCCTTTTACCCATTTTGGGGGGAGGGTTCCCCTACTAAAATAGACTACAGAAAAAACGGGTACCTTATTCTATCCTCTCTACTGGAGGACCTAGTTTTGGGTCGCTGAGCTGGGATTCGGGTCAGACGGAGTGAAGGAGACTCCGCATGCCTGTTTTGGTTGGTCGTCCTCTTGAAGATCTCTTATGTAGGTTCCCAGTGGCCCAGTGGATTCCGCACCGTTTTGCATTTGTGTGGGAAGGGTTCCAGTTGAAATCAACTAGCTAAAAACGGATACCCTTTGTCCCATGGCCGCTGGTCAGTTGAGATTCTGGAATTATGGAATGGAAAGGCAAACACAAACCCTTGGCGCCCCTTGGACAACCCCGTCTTTGACTTTCAAATTTTAGAGTTTACGGGGAATATTCCACAAGTCGAACTTGCAGCCAGAGTCAACCACTACCGCTTCTGGGGGGCAACCCCCTTGGTTGAAACACACGTGCCAATTCCCCCGGGCCGTCAAAACATATTCCTTCGCATTGAATCGTTATCTTTTGGTTGCCACGTGTAGATTATCCTTTTGAGGTTCGCAGACCAAAAGGGAAACGGATTTGACACGTGCTGATGCGCTGGATTGGACGTGGATGTGTGTGTTGTCTTGACAAACCCTTGTTCAGGTTGGCTTAACGGGACACCAACAGGAAAACATCAATTTTGTGGCGTCCCTCAAGGGGCTTCGAAGAATAAGTCAAGTGGAGCAATTCTTGAACGAGTGGAACATACAGCAGTCCTTGTAGGGTCATGCTGTTCAGGGATCCTTCTTTTTAAACCTCGAGAAACCATGAACAACGGCTGCTTTTTGAACAGAACGATGGCTGAAAAGAATGGCCGGGGAATCAACCTCTAGAGTCTCCCTATTTTGACAATTTGACACGTGCACCCCGTCTGTTCTTTTCGGTATCCGAGGATACCGTCACCATCGAGGTGCAGATGGCAGGAGGAGGCCCCTGCTCCTGCATCTTGATGGTGAAGAAAGACGACGAGGACCGGTCCCGTTCGGTCAGGTCTGTCTAGCCGTGACCTTCAAACTACCCATACAAGAATATGCTTTGCTTTCGGGGGTCCAGGTATGTTTTTTGTTGAAGGGAGCCCGTTCAGGTTGGTTTGACCACCAAAAGGATTCGTCGTCCTTGGTTTGTAAGTTCGTTGGTGCTACATTGGCCATAATTTGCAGTGCAATACTGGAAGCCACAAGGGATACATAGTTGGTTGACCTACTTGTTTTTAATGTACCCGGAGTCTCCATGACTCTTCAAAATTGGAACCCCTTTCTTTCGGGCAATGACCAACCATGTCTTTTATGGGTCACAAGAAGACTCTAGACTCTAGCTATGTTTCAGGTAACGCCGGATTTGTGGTTTCTTGGTGGCTCCCAGCCATCCGGTTCCTTGGCTTTTTTAGCCGTTTAGTGTTTAGTGGTAGTTTCCGAATTTAACTCACTCAAAGTGAGTCACGTTCGCGGGGGATCTCAGGGCAGCCCAAGTTTGGATTTGGATTGTGGGTGACGCGGAACACCACCGGGACTCCAGACCATTGAAGCTCAATGTTTCCTTACCCAGTGCAACAGGTAACCAGAGGAAACCATGAGAAACAAAACCTAGAGGTAGACTGAGGTAGACATACAAAAGGCTTACCTATGCTTGCTTACTATACTTGATTGCTATTGGGTTGGATCTTTAGACTTTATCATCTTTTCGCTTGAAATCAAGGGTCTTCAATTAAACCCACACAACATTATATTGTTTGCAGAGGAGTCTCGGCAGCAACCAAGTATAGTCTTCCATTTGCTTAAGAATATGTTGTATTTTCCATGTTGGTTTTAAAGTTGGAATCTATCACTACTGGACATGTTGTTTTTCATGTTTTCACCTGTTGGTTTCAAAGGGAATCTATCACAACTGGAAACGCTTGTATTTGTTTCCATCAATATTTTTTCATCTGCTGGTTTCAATGGGAATCTATCACTACTGGACATACCTAGAGTCTCCATGACCCCTAGAAAAAGGGGTCACCCCTTAATTTTAGGCATGAACAACCATTTTTTAAGGGTCACGGAGAGTCTAGGTATTTATATTTTTTCCATCGGTCTCAAGCAAATGGAAGTAGTGGCTGGCCCGGAACTGTTACTCAAAGATTACCCTGATCTCACCCCACCCCGCAGGTCCCGATCGAATCGAATCGGGGTTCCGGGGCACTGATTCGTTGGTGCATTTTGCCAAGGGATGTGAGGATTTTATATCTGTTTGCCAACTATTTTTGTGGGGTTTTCCGTATTAGAGGTTTCTTTCGAGTTACGTGGTGCGGCTCTTGTGATTTGTTTGAAGCCAAAGTCTCTGGACGACTGCAAAGGGGCCTTGAAAAATAAAATTACCTGGAGTCTCCATGACATTTGAAAAAATGGGACCCCTTTCCTTTGGGCATTGAGAGTCTAGGTATCTTCAACAGCAACCCGGAATGTTTTCAGAATCCAATTGAACCCTCGCTGAAAGCTGCCCCGGAGCTATAGACCCCATAGCTGTCTCAGCTGTTTGGGCTGAAAAAGTGGTTTTGAGGGCCGTGGGGTATCCCTAGCAATCGGACCCTATTGCGTCACCTATCAGAAACCCTGGTTTCTGATTCGATTCCCTCAGGAACCCTGGAATGATTCGATTCCCCCAACGTACATTCCAACAAACGTTATGTTTTTCAACCATGGCTTCATTAACCGTGGCGTTCGATTTCGTGGGATTTCGCCACCAGCCACCGAGCCACTGGTGTCATCGTGTCCGAGGACAAGATGGTGGCGCAGCTTCACCTATTAGACCTGGAGTTGCCGGTCCGAAAGCAGGCCTTCGGATGAGAGAAGGGGCGGGGAGTGCGAGTGCGGGTGCCCTTCTCGCTTTTGTAGAAACAAACATGGGACACTACTCTCAGTTGTCCAGTGGCACCCGAGTCTCTTTTTCCCACTTTTTTTTTGGCCGCCCCATTAAAAATGGTCCAAGCCTCAAAAAGGGTTCCCCCCTTTTTTTTGCGGGGTCACTGAACCACTGAGTACTCGTAACCCCTAAAGCGGCAATCCAAGCCACCAGCTAGTTGAAACCTGAAGAGCGATTACCCACAACCCCCCCGAGGTATCTCCAGGGCCCGATTTCACGGCCAGGTTTTGAGACCCCAAGCACCGATTCCCGGCGTGTCGTTTTGGAGGGCTCGCGTCTTCCATTGACCTAGAGTCTCCATGACCCTTTTAAAAAGAGGTCCATGACCCCATTATTTAGGGTAATGACCCGATTTTTTTGAGGGGTCAAGGAGACTCCAGGTATATTATGTTTGCCCAGTTGCGTCATTGGAACCTTATAGGGGAAAAGGGATCTCCAGCGGTTTGGACCTCAAACCGCCTCCCTTCAAACAAAAACACACGTGATGGTTTCTTCCTTGGATTTCCAACGAAAATCAGCCCGGGGCGACCGCATTGACCGCATAGCTTTCAGCTGTTGGGGGCCTCAATCAAAACTTAGATGTCTTCCTTGAGCTTCCGAAAGAATCGAGAACTCCTGAATTTCCTTGAGTTTCCTTGAATTTTCTTCGGAGAGTAGTTGAATTTCCTTGAGTTTCCTTGAGAACTAAGATTCACTTCCTGAGTTCTTGGACTTGATACTTTTTGCGCGAATATACTCAGGAAGTGAGCAAAGGAGTACCTGGAGTCTCCATGACCCTTTAAACATGCTTGCTCGTTACCCAAACGAAAGATTCGGCTGATGCATGATCCATTGTTTTTAGGGTCAGAAGGAGAGTGCAGGTATACCCATTTGCTAAGGAATATGTCTTTTGTTTCCCTGTTTCTTTTGGACGCAATCTATCACTACTCGAAATATGACCAACCATTTTTAAAGGGTCAGAAGGAGAGTCCCTGTACTTTGTTTCGAGGTCTCATAGTGGTAAATAACAAGTTTGGGTACTTGTTTTTGCGCGAATCCACTCGGGAAGTGAGCAAAGGAGTACCTGGAGTCTGCACGATCCTTTAAACATGCTTACTCATCACCCAAAAGAAAGACTCGGCTCATGAGCGACCCGTTTTTGTTTAAAAGGGTCAGAAGGAGTCAAGGAGAGTCCAGGTATACCCACTTGCTAAGGAATATGTCTTCCCCTCTTTCTTGTGTCTTTTGGACTCAGTCCAGGTACCTTTTTTTGAGGTCTCCCCTAAAAGAAAGGGGTCTTAAATGGCCAAAAGACCATATTTCTCTCACCTTCTCCCCGTTTCTTTTGGGCTGCGACTCGACACCTTTGAGGTCTCAAGGTCTCCATCGCTTCGCTTCCCACCACCGCACTCCGACGCTCTGAGGCCTCCCGAGAGAGCGGCAGCATCCTGGAGATCCGCGGGGAGAAGGCGCCTCGGCCTCGAAAGCTTTGGATTTGCTGCGACGCGAACTGTTAACGGGTTGTTGTTTTGGGGCGAAGCTGGGGTAATGTGCTAGTATATGCCTGGAGTCTCTTTTTGAGCCTTAAATTAAGATATGGTTGGAAAATGACCAAAAGATCGGAGTCTCTGATGTTGACCCATCCCCTCCATGGCTCCGGGTCTTTGCCCTGGGGTTCCCTTTTGCCACCAATACAAAGGGGGTTGATTTATGACCACCATGATTTATCTACCTGGAGTCTCCCAATCTGAGCCTTTCAACATGGTTGGTCAAAAAGCCCAAGAGAAAGATTCGGGTCATGACTGGCCCTTTTTTTAAGGGTCAGAAGGAGACTCTAGGTATATATATATATATATTAATAGCTTATATATATTTCTATATATCATAGATGCCCTCCTTTCGCGAAAACTTCTTTGAGTGGGTGTTGTTTTAGGGTACTGGCAGTGTTGACCTCATGTTTTTTCAACCCTCCAAAAGGGATTCCCCACTAAACCCAAAAACATGAGTCTCCTTCTGACCCTTAAACTGGTATATATATATATATATTAGGAGCTCTTGAACTGATTTCATTTTCTGAGGCCCCTATACGGGGTCCAAGGGGCTCCTAGGTATGCTATGAGAAACCTGGAGTCTCCGAATCTGAGCCTTCAAACATGGTTGCTCATTAGTCAAAACAAAGGGGTCATGACACCATTATTTTGGGTCATGGAGACTCTATGTATGTGTCATGGTCAGAAGACCGATTCCTGTACTTGGGGTTGACAGGGATGGCTTGCGCAGGTGTTCGGTCTTTGGTGTATTTGCGAATTTGCGATGTTGGTGCATTTGAGCCACCCCCATGGTTGGATTTTGAGGTTTTGCATTGTGGATATTTCATATGTTAGCATATTAGGCATCCAGCACGAGTTGATAAATGTTACACATTTCACTTTAGATAACACTATTTTAGATATGTTAGGGTCAATTGAGCCGCAATCAAAACCAGGGTAGATGCAGGTTAGTAAGGGACAATCCCAACCATAAACATAGCTGCGGGAATCCGCCTTCTTCATTCTTGAAGCATGGTGCTGTGATCACGACCATTTTAGTAACGGCGTTTGATTATGACTCACATGCCCATGGCAGCAAAGGTTCGACCCCTTAGGGACAGGGATTTCAAGTGGCTGGCCAGGAGTCATGAGCCGTGCGGTTTTTAGTGGTTTTTAGCGGTTCTTAGTGGTTTTTAGTGATGTTTAGTCATTCTGAGTGGTTCTTAGTGGTTTTTAGTCGTTTTTAGTTGGTTTAGTGGTTGGGTTTCTATTGATCCCACCAAAAGTTATTCACTTCAACAGGGGATCGGTTTGCGCAGTGAATATGATTCTTGTGTACGTACTCCTTTGTAGAATGTGAAGCTATATACCTTCCCACCCCTTTCACATGGAGCCTGACCTTCAGGGCCCGGTCCCTTTAAGCGGAAAATGGTCACCAGAACTTCTCCCCGAGCGTCGAAGGGTGAGCGGCTGTGAAAAGGCTGGGAGGGCATCTTAGAAACAGCTGTGCTCCAAGGTGAAGGTTGTGGGAATATAACAACAACGTAGACTCTCCAAGACCCTGAAAACATGGAGTCATTACCCACTCCCCATAGCCCCCCTTAAGGGTCCATGATTCATCCACCCTAGGGTGCATTGTGTCCACAGGTGCGGCAAACGGGTCCCTTCGGTTCTTTGCATGCGACACTTTGCATGGCATATTACGTACATCATCTTGGGCTGACTTCTTTGCCGTTTTTGATTGTGACCTAGTACACACTAAAAAGCTGCATCCGTTAAGGGCCCGTTTTCTACATGTCCATACATGTTCCTTGTTTGCTTTGAGGAATCAAGTACTTGAAGTCTGGATTGTGCGTTGACGGGCCATGGTACTCGAAATTGAAGTTGACATAATGCGAGCCATGCCAAAGCAGAATAGAAGACGTATTTTGGATGGACGAAATCCATTTTGCACTACTGTTAAACCATGTGAAACCATTGTGGGTTGGTATTTGCAGTCATCATTCCAGGGTTTCTCAGGTGGTGCAGGATGTTGGTACCTGTTTACCTGTTTCCATGGGGTTATTTGCCCAAAGCTAACGCGAAAGGCCACCGCCCTCCCCTAAAAAGGGGTTGACGTCCAGAAAAGCGGCATTTTGGTGGATTACTAGCAATTCATTCGCCAATCCACCGGCTTGTCCTGATTGTCTTTGAGGGGAGGCGGCCACCCCCAGCAATGATAGTTGTCCTTTGTGGTTTTCCCCTTCAAACTTGCCAAGAGGCGGTTTGCAACAACAGCAAGAAAAACACACCCCTCCCCCCAAACAAATCAACCAAAAACAACACATAACAAAACCCCTCCCCCCCAAAGAATATGTAAAAAATGAAAAGCTACAAACCAAAAACACGCAACCACACAACACACAACACGCCCCCCTCTTTCCCTCTTTGCCTTTGGAGTCCTCGCTGGACCGGGCTCTGAGCGGCAGCATCCTGGGGATCCACGAGCCGGAGGAAGGGTCCGCTTGGCGTGGCTTCTGGGGTTTCGAGGGTCCTTCACGGGGTGTCCAAAAAGGTCGGAACCTTTGTAGGGTCCATTTTCGCGTCTGAAAAATGGCAGTGGCTCAAAATTAAAAAGGGGCCAACCGCGGGTTTTGGTCCATGTTTCCACGTACTAGGGTTCTAGGGTTCCATTTTGGGACCGGTTTTTTGAGCCACAGCCAAATCGAACTGTGTCCTACCGTGGCTTGGGTTGCGAACTCCAGAAGTTGCACCGTTCAGAAAGGGAATGAGTCGATTCCCCGACGCAAAATACCGACAAACGCTATGATTTCAACCATGGTTTCGAAGTCGAACGGATTTCGTCCATCCACAGTATGGTTGTCAGGGGCCTCTCAAAGATGGGAAATGCTGTCCCCAAAAGGAACCCGGTTGGCCATTTTGTTTGGTGACACCGTGGATGGAAAGGCGAAATCCATAAAACACCTGTGCCCATCCACCTTTGCAGTGGGATTAGATTAGATCCATTTGGCTGTGGGTCAAATCCAATGGTATCCCATTTTGGGGTAGGTGCACCACCCATTTTAGAACCTATTTGAGTGGGGATTGGGATGTTCACTGGGGCTAACCGGGATTTTGACCCCTGGCCATTTCAAGGCAAAGCCCTCCCCAAAGTTTCGCATGGCTTCTTCCGGGCCCCGGGCCCCTGGAAGAGATGCCCGGCATGGAGCCTGACCAAGCAGGGATTCGCCCCTTTGACCGGTCAGAAGCTGACTGCTCCAGGTACCTGGAGTCTCCATGACCCTTTAAAAATGGGGTCATTACCCAAAATAATGGGGTCATGGACCCATTTTTAAAGGGTCATGGAGACTCCAGGTGTACGTACTGTGGATGGCCGCGAAATCCATTTCGCACCGCCGTTCAGAAAGCCTGGCTTCTGCTGATTCGCCTGTGAAAGCCAACAAACAACGATTTCAACCATGGTTTCAAATGGTGCAGGATTTTGTCCACCTGCAGTAGCGCAGGCCCCCGCGTTATTTTCTCCCAACAGATGATGCAATGTGCACTTGTTGTTCCACCGGACAACCTATGGGGACCACGAGTTGGTGCCTAATGTTCAGGTAGATTATTTCAGGACCCCTGCTCTATTTCCAAACCCATATCCAGTTCTTATCTGTCATACCTGGTCATTACCCAAAAGAAAGGGGCCATCACCCCCATTTTTGAAGGGTGATGCAGAGTCTAGGTGGAGGGTACTGGGACTCTTTCCTCCTCAACGACCCTTTCGCGTGTGGTGATTCGCAGGAAGCGGTTGCGAAGAACACGAAGATGATGGCGCTGTGAAAACCGCCGACCCCTTCCTCCTGACAACCCAGGCCGATCGGGGTGGGGGGTTCACGCGTTTATTGCGAATTGGTGTGTCGCTTCTCCTGATTACTAATTAGTTTACTAGTTTTCTTTTTGGGATACAAGGAATTTCCTTTCCCGAAAGTTCTAGTTTTCCCCTCTTTCCCGTTTTGGTTTGCCCTTGTCTAATCCCTCCCGCGTGCTTGTACCCTATGAATAAATATTTGGCCAGGCCATTGTTACCAGACTCTCCATGGCCCTCAATGGGGTCATGAGCCAATTCTTTTGGGTAATTAATGACCCGATTTTTAAAGGGTCATGGAGACTCCAGGTAGGGATTAGTAGAGTTTGGTAATTAACTATGACCAATACATAATGACGATTCTTGTTGATACAGCCTCATCAATAGTTGCACTAAATTCAGGACGCATTTAACGTGATGATATGATTCTTTTATTGTCATTGCCATATTCAATGCTTCATTCATTGTACGTCTTATTAAATCCTTCCATGTCCTTCGCGTGGCCTTTAGGCCAGTCGTTTCAATCCTGTGTCCTTGCCTGATTTTGGCTACCAGGTATGACATTATCCGGAAACACGCTGGTAGCCGCTACCAGCGTGTTTCCGGATAATGTCAACCCGGGATCAATAAGCCCATTTCTATTAATATTTGGGTGTCCCTGGTTATAAGTGGGGTTCAGACGATTTTTGGAGGGCCCCCGCCCCCTTTTAACAAACACCTGGAGTATCCACAACCCTTAACTTTGGTCACCCAAAAGAAAGGGGTCACGGCCCCAGTTTTGAAGGGGGTCTCTTACAAGATGGTGAGGTAACACCGCCAAAAACTAGTTATGAGTTTGGATCGATCCCGGGCCACCAGATGTCCCTAAAATTCCCCCTAGGCTTGGTTAGTTAAAGGGGCGATCGGGTTAGTAGGTAACCATGGTGAGACCCACAAAAGCCATGGTTATATGGATGTGGGTCAAAAAATAGGGTAACCCCACGCTGGCAAATGGAAACATGGTTTCCGGGTGGATTGATTTTGGCCCACACGTTGTATTTCTCTCGGCTCGGGTTATCTCACCAGGCCTAGCCACTTCACTGACGGACCGATTCGATCGCCTTTGGGACTTTGGGACCTACCCAAAAAAGCCCAGGCCTTGGAACCGTGCCTCCGGTCTCTTTTCTTTTTTTCACGAGCTGTTGGGACAAGAGTTCATTTCAGCTATTGGGTGTAGGGGGATAAGCAGGTGTTTTTTTTCAGGAGAGTGGCATTGCGAGTCATGTTTTTTGTTTTTGTTTTTTTTCTTTCTTTTTTTTCTGGCGAGAAAACCAAATTTCAGGTATCCCTCTAATTGGTGGTTCGGAGCCGAATCGGTGGTTTGGGATTTGAACGGGTCCCTGGATCTGTAGAAGGTACATGAGAAATCCCTCCTGAACCACCAAACCGCCAAACCACCAATTAGAGGGAAGCTGATCATGTCGATAACCCAGATCTCAACCCCTCAAATGTCCAACATCCACTTCCCATCTGTTGCAGGGGTTGTTTTTGCGTGTGCTGGAAGCGGACTTTTTGGGCCAAGATAACCAGTGGCACTTGGTTCATCTTTTTCCCAGCCCAGAGGCTCCTGGGGTTTTCAATGGAAGACCCGACCCTCCACCGGACACCCCGGGAATCGGTGTTTGGGGTCTCAAAACCTGGCTGTTACATCGGGCCCCTTCGATACATCGAATTTGAGCCCCAAGGAAGGGTCGACAGGAGTTTCGATGCCACATTTGGATTGAGGCACTGAGACAAGTCTCTTTGGTGTATCGTTTGCACTGACTCCTAAGCGGGCGTTTGCTTTTCCTCTTGAGCTAAAAAGGGGCTGTCCCCGATCGACCGTTCAGCAACTTCCAAGACCAGGGATTGTTCCCCAGAAACATCTCATCCTCAAAGCGGATTTCAGGGCTCCCCCTCTTTTCAGGGTTCGCCCGCCAAAAGAACTGCCCGCGCTCAAGCCCCCTTCTCCCGCACGAAGATCGTGTATCCGACCCACGGCGTGAACTCATACTTCTCCCTGCGCCCGCGTCTAATGGATCGGTCGACCCATTTTCCACTTCCCACCACGGACCATGCCACGGTCCTCTTCACCTCGTTGAAGCCCTGACGCTCCGTATCGAAGAGCTTCCTCCTCTCCTTTCTGTGCACCTGCACGCCGAACACGATGCCGACCGGCAGGGGCACGTCCATCCACTCATCTCGCACCCCCTGCGGACGCGATGCCAAGATCTCGGTCATCAGCACCACACTCGCCTCCACATCCTGGAAAAAGGCCATCCGCATGATGTCCAGCATGTTCTGCCCAGGTGCGCCAACAAGACGCCTCTGGATCACCTCCTCACCGCACACCCGAGGCCGCTTGGCCGCCACCTCATCTGCGTCCTCACCCTCACCTCCGGTAGTTCCCGATGTCCCGAATCGTGCCGTACTCCCCGTTCCCGGTCCCGAAGCCGACGGTGTCCCTCCTGAAGATCCCGAAGGCCCCGAGCCAGAACCACCATTTCCACCGCCTCCAGGAGGTCCTCCACCTCCTGAACCCGCCGAACTCGATCCGCTCGTCTCAGGCCCGGCCCTCCTCAACACTCTGAAGTTCGACGATCCCCTCCATGGCGTTCGCCTCTCCCAGTGCTCCTCGTGCCAGTTCTCAACCAGCCTCTCCCACGCCATACCATTCTCCTCGTCCGGCGCAATCTCGGAAACCCGCACCTGGTCCAACTCCTCGAACCGTATGCCCGGGGGTAGATCTCGCCGTCCTGGAATATAGTCCCAGTACCGCGCCACCATATGAATGCGCGACAGCCTGACCTCGTTCTCCAAGAACTCGACCTGCCACTCATCCTCCCCAGGCTCATCCTGCGACGCCCTTTCGGTCGGCTCCGGCGGGCCATCACCACCTCCACCCCCGGGAGTAGTCTTCCCCAGCCACGATCTCTCACCGACCTTCCCAAAGCCCTTCACCTCCGGCTTCCACCACTCAACGGGCGAAGTCCCCACTGAAGCCGCGGCCTTCTCGACCATGAGCGATCTCACCGACGGCTCCACCTCGTCCTTCGGCTTCTTCTTGGGCCCGTTGATACTCTTCACCTCCTTGATCCTGGCCACGGACACTTTCTCCAACACCATCTGCGCCACGGCCTCTCCCGGCTTGACAATGTAGTCTGCGTGCCCATAGTTCCTGACCAAGATCCTCACTTCGCCGCCGAAGTCCCGCTCAATCACTGTTCCCCCGGCTTCCACTCCTCTCACAGCCAAACTGGCCACTGCAGTGATCCTCCCGCACGTCCCCTTTGGCATCTGGACCTTCAGACCCGTCCGCACCAGCGTGTAGCTCCCCGCCGGCACCACCACCTGGTTCATCGCGAAAAGGTTCACTCCAGCCGCATTTTCGGTGGGCCTTTCCGGTAGCACCGCCTCCTCGCAGAGCCTCTGGAACCCAAGCTCCTCCTCTTTTCGCAAGCAGTGCCTCAACGCCGCGATACCGATCTCCTTGATCAGCTTCAGCAGGACCACCACCGCCGTGATCACAATCAACCACCAATACTCTCCTCCCGTGTCGTCATCATCCAGCTCTTTTGCCTCTGCCAGCTCCACACAGGTCGATCCCACCACCAGGAGCCCCAGGACCTTCTCCATTTGCTCGTTCCGACCAACCTCCAACTTCTTGATCTTGACGATCTTCACCTGGCCCTCGCCACCCTCCTCCGCTCCACTGTAGAAGCCCAACGACTCCTTGAAGCGCCCGAAAGGTGATGCCCCCAATTGCTTCGTGAAGCCATCTGCTACCAAGCTCTGGCCGGGAACGTGTTGAAGTTGGATTGCCCCCTGCTGGACCGCCTCCGTGAGCGCTGCCGCTCTAATGCGCAAGTGCCGGGTTCTCCAGCTTCCGGAACTTCCATTCACAATGGCCAGGGCTGCACTGCTATCACTGTAAAGCCGCAGCTCCGCCGGACTTTCCTCTAGCTCCTCCACCAAGCCACCAACCCCCTTCAGAGCCGTCCAGGCCTCGATGAGGGCGGCCAGCTCGCTTTCTGCCGTGCTGAGAGCAATGCAAGCCTGACGCGTGGTAGCCCAGAAAATAGGGCAACCCGAGTAATACACTGCCATGCCGGAGATAGACTTGTTCTCATGGGCCCCGAAGGACGCGTCCGCATAAGACTCCACCGCATCCCGCCGCCGCTCACGATGCTGCTGGTGGTCCGGTCCATGATCACCTTCACCGAGGCGTTTATAGTGTAGCCCTTCCTTCGCAGTCCTCCAGAGATACTGCAGCACCTTCTCTCCGATCTTTACCACGCCCTGCGGCCTCCTTGTGGTCCATTGACCCAGAACGGCTACGGGGTACGTGATGTCGGGCCGCGTTCGTGCCGAAAGCCACAGCAGCTCCCCGGTCACAACCTGCGCCTTGTGCACATCCTTCGGGCTGGGGGGATCTTCTTCCTCAGGAACTCCAATTCCCGCCAGCGTGCCACCCTTGACGATCTGGTGCCGGTCCAGGAGGTCGGTCACGTAGCTCTGCTGATGCATCTTCACACCGCTATCATCCACCGCGAACTCAAAGCCGCAGAATCTCAAATCCTCCGTGGCAGAGGCCCAGTCCGGCTCACTCGTGTCCCAGGTCTTCCGGATTTTTGCCAACACCGCCTCCACCGACCTGCGAGCACCCGTCACCAACATGTCATCGATGTAGACCGCCATGTAGCCGATGGTCTCGTTCTTCCCCCATCTCCGACTCTTCACCCGCCACAAGTTAACCTCCTTCGTCTTCTCGAACCAGCACGACCACGTGCCCTCCTCATCTGTCATCTCCCAGCCGATCTCGCCCATGGTCTGATCTCGGTGCTTCGCCCAGTCCTTCGGGGAGGTGGTCAACCCGTAGACTGAACCTTCAACGGCCCAAAGTTCTCCAGGTTCCGTTATCCCATTCTCCTGAAAGATGGTAGGCGGATTGACCACCACGATGTCCTTGGACCGTCCCGGTGGCACCTG